ATTCCTGCTAACAAGGCCACCAATACTGCCTTATAATGCAATCAAGCTGTAGGAACTCAAGGTCAGAACTACATAAGCCCTGGGTTAATCCTTTAGAGGAACAGAAAATCAGATCCTCAGCTGGTACAAACTGGCAGAAACTAAGAGCTATGTGGATTTGCACTAGCTGAAGAGTTTGGCCATACCTGCCCTTCTGCACAGCCTGGAAGTCACTTAAAATGATTTAAAAAACCAAAATGAAATTCTGAATTAAATGACAGGAGAAATATCTCACCTGTGAATGAATGGGTAAACAAGCATATGACAAAACAATGGCATGGAAACAGCTCTAAGTAATGGAAGAGTAATCAGCAAAGATGATTACCTGTGGCTTATTGACTCTGCATGTAAGTCTGGGAGGTGGCTGTGTTGTGACAGTAGAGGAAGAGAGGGCAGAGGAAGGGAGAGGAGCAGATGAAGAGAATGCTTTTGAGTCTGCAGTCTTTTGAAGAAAAGAAAAGTTGGTCAGCTTGGCACACAGTCTCTTATCACTATCACTGCTAGTGATAAGAGCATCTACTATCCAGTAAATCTGATGCACACACAGCAAACGTAACTTCATGCAATGGCAAGTGCAGTTTCCAGTTAGTTCATCTGAGCTGACCACCTCATTCTGTTTTAAACATGCAGCTTATGCCTGTAAAAAATGCTACTAAAAATGTGTCCAGATGGTAAACAGCATAGTCTTTATACAGTTTTCAATACACCTCTGGTTATGACTCAAGCAGAAATCAAACAATTCTTCATAAGATTTCCCAGTGTGAAATGTGTCATCTTAGAAACCTTAGTTCTTCATTATTTAATGTTTGCTAGTTGGTGTATGTCATGGCGGCTTATTGCAGTGCATCTAAGACAGTATTTATAATGCTATGATTTTGAGCTCTCCAAACTTTCACTCTCACACAACATAGCACAGGGGATGCTGTCATGTATTTGGGCTGTCTGTTGCCCACAGTGGACCCCAAGTCAACTGAGAGCTGCAAACTAGGGCAGATTTACACCAAGACTGAGGTTAGGAGATTTATTGTAGAAGCTACTGCAGGGTTCCCCATCTTTCCTCTCATTGTAACATACAGCTATATGTAACTAAGAACTCTTAGGGAAAAGTATCACTAGCCCTAATTCTTATTTATGGCTAGACCCTTTCACATCATTTTGGAGACACATAAGTAATAAATTCCATTCAATGCATAGACAACAATCAAGTCCCCCTGAGTCATGCACATCTCAGAGTGAGGTTCACTAAACTGCAGGCTCTGCGATCAACAGGGGACAGCTTTTGCGATGCTAGGAGCCAGGTTGACATTTACAAGGCTTTTCAGCCCTTGGCTTTAGAAGGAACAAATAAATCCTATAACCAAAGATGATCCATTATACACTGGAAAAATCTCTCAATAGCAAGGAATTGCTTGTATTCCACACAGTGAGGTATATGGGCATGAGGCCTGTATGATACTTTCATCTGACACATCTGGTAATAATCACAATCTGGGACAATCACCTCATTAGACGTGACCAATTGAGTCAGTCCTTTGTTATTACCTATTCTAAAATAATTTTCACTACACTGCTCCTGAGCCCTCTTCTAAAACTTTTTGATCTACTATCTAATGAACACCACTGGTGACCCCTGGAAGAAGTTCTTAAGATCATCAAAATTATATGTGGCAACCACTGGCTCTGCCTGGCCAGCAGAGCAGTACAAACCCTAACAAACCAGTTAAAATCAGCGATTCAGAGCAGCACACGCACATGCAGGAGAAGTACCTTCTTTTCCCCGCTTTGAAACTTTCCCAGATCACCTTTCCTCATGCCTCTTTTCTCTGTTTTACCTCCCTGCACAATAGCCATTAGCTCCTGACACAACTGGTTGTCCTCAGACGAACCCACAGGTCTCTTTTCTGGGCTCACACGCATGTCTAGTTGGGATGGTTTCAGGCAGCGCTCAACAGAGATCTTGGGAACAGTGTGAGCACCCTGCTCAGGGTTGCTGCTGCCCTCTCCAGTCTTTTGGAGCCAGGCTTGGCTGCCTGTGGTGTCACGCTGCTCTGTGAGGATGCTTTCAGGGCTCTCCGCTGCCCAGTGAGGAGAGTTAGAGTAGCTCACGCTGGGAGAAGGGGAACCAACAAATTTTTCTTCACTTTGTGGAGTGGCCTCATAGAAACTGTGGGTGGAGGACTGAGGTCTGGATGAGTAAGAGGGCAATGGGGATTTAATGGACCTGGGAGTCGAGGAGCCAGAGAGGTGAGAATGGTGGAGGCTGACCGTGGGGGAAGGGCTGGCTGCAGCAGAAGGCGAGAGATAGCCAGTGTGAGAGAGAGACGCTTCAGGTGGAGGAGGTAATGGAGGAGTTATGGCAGGAGTGGGGCTAGGAGATACTCCCATGGTCAGAGCAATCCACTCAGATGTGACCGCCTGCACCTCTGGAGATAAGGTGCGGCGTGCGAAAGGCAAAGGCGGAGGAGTTGGTGTATGGAGCTGCTCAGAGCTGGGAGACTTGAAGGAGACAAAAGTAGGAGAGAAAAAGAAAGAAATGAACAAAAAAAAAAAAAAATAATAAGGAATATATAAAGCGACCGAGCAAAAGTAAAAGGAGAGCAAGCAAATATGGAGAAGAGCAGGTCTGCGACCAAACATGGTGCTTAGGTATTCCACAGACAGTGCACCGTGTTGGAGAACATGCTATTCACAGCTACTCCAACCACAGGGTCCAGTCTGGATCTGTGCTGCCAATGACCTTCTCCAGCCTTTGCCAGGATCCCAGAAACAAAACATCTTGTGGAAGACTGTAAGACTTCATACCGTATGTCCTATGTCTCTCAGGGAACAGCTGAAGCCACCATCCATGATGGCAGCATGTAGCATTTGACTGGCTGGCAGTAACAGCCGGGGCCCTGGCAACTCACACTGTGGACCCAAGTCAGAATTCACTGGTGCAATGAATTTTGACTTTATCCACTCTAGCATGAGCAGTTCCTGCTCCTCAAGAAACTTGCATTGCTGAAGCTGTGGAGGAGAAAGGGATAAAAAAGCCAGCTGTGGCTATTTGATCTTTTGGTGATTAAAGTAGGTCCTGTGTTTATAAAGGCAGAACATACAACTGACTTCTGCCCACTACTTCTCACAGTAATGTCAATGAATTAGCACTGATCAGAGTGTTTTCTCAGTCCTCTGTCAAGTTAGGCAAAAAAAGTAAGGGAGAGAATTGATTTTTCAGGGGGAGAATCAAAAGAATAGCAAAGGAAACAAAAAAAGGGTGAACATGATCCCTTCCATTAAAGGGAGAAGCTTGCAGAAAGCTGGTGGCAGATAGGTCATAGCCATGGAGAGACTGCCAAACTCAAACAGAAAAGCTTAACTAAGGTCCGCTTCGACAGGGAACCCCAAAAAAGCAACAAAGTCTTTCCTCTACACAGTGGCTAAGAATAAAAACACTCCTTTTAGGGAAAATCCAGACAGACACCAGGCATGAGCCATGGCAGCCTTTCCCTTCCCTCCTGATCCCAATTCTCCACTTCTGTTCCTTGGAGGCTTGACCTCGGAATGACCTTGCTTCTGTCCCATGGGCAAGAGGGAGATGTACTAGAACCTCATGGCTGCAAACCAGAAATGTATGCTGACCTTCAGGCATGAGTATTTGCAGGATGAGAGCAAAAGAAAGGGATTTAGAGACTCACTGCTGCCCTGATACATTTTCTACAGCAAACATTCTGGGATCCCCATATAATTACCTGCTGCCACTTTGATTTCTGCTTTGAACTGCAGCATGGTTTATAGTGACTCTAATATTCATCTAAGATCCCAGACTGGCCTGCTTTCAAAACCTGAGTTCATTTAGCACCAGTTTCAAGTAACACAGGCTGCTCTCCTGACGCTGTCTCCCAAAACATTGGTTGTGAGCTGAAACATTTAAGAGTAAATATATAGCTTGATTCAAGCTGACTGGAATCAACATAATGACTCCTACAGACTGTAACAGCCTGTGATGCCCTGTTAATAGTCATAATAAGAAATTCACTCTTCACAATGGAGGTCTGTAAAGTGCAAACAAGCACTCATGAGGAGCTGGACCACCAATTCATTCTATCTCTGGCAGTAAAATTTATTCAGATGGCTGTGAACTGTAGCCCTTTCGACCTGGCCTGAATTCAAGCTACAGATCAGAGATGAAAAGCTGAGTCTCCAAATCCCCACATGACCCATTCATTAACCTTTCTGGTAAATGAAACATCACTTTTCCTGCAGTTGCAGTATACTGCAGGGAGCACATGGTTTTCACTGTGCAAAACACTAGTCTTAGCTACAGCAATGGCAACATCCCTCTGTTCTGCAAGGTGTAACTGGCTGCATCTAGTCCAAATACCTGTGGTGAAGCTGTCATGCTGCGGTTAGGGGAGAGGGACATTGGTGGGTCAGGATAGTCAATGGCATTCTTGACCACTGGCCGCTTGAGCACTTCCACATAAGTGACAGGGAAGATGCCTTGACGACTGGTGCCAGAGATTCTTCCTTCATACCAATTCTCATCCACTCGTCGAATCAATATGATCCTTTCACCCTATGGGAAGGAACAATAATGCAGTTCTGATCTTAACATATTTCATCAATCCAAAGCAGATTACATTTTTAATCTTGCTGCATCTGATCTAAAACAATTAGTAGCTCTCAGCCTTCTCTATTTCCCAGTTATGCGGGAACCCTAGGCTCTGGGTGGGAATGATTTTTCAGTTCAGATGAAGAGGGAAATGCAGATATTCTGGGGCTGACTTGGGCTGTCTGCAGATTCAGTTATGCTCACATTTTCAGAACTCTAGTTGCTATAGTAAATTAAAAAAATGGAAACCAGAAGTTTCAGGCTGACCACAAGACTCTGAGGAGTATGAGATATACAGGGCATATGCACAGGTCTGCAATTTAAACTAGGTCTCTGTGCTCTCTCCTGTTCTGCTGGCAAATGAAGTGACTTCCAGATCATTAATATAAAGTGCAAGCCCCATCTTCATGTACAATTAAAAGAGAATTAGACAAAATCTAATCTGAGCTGTAAAACAGAAAGCTGGTTGAGAAAGAGAAATGTCTGACTGCTCTGTCTCTGTGCTCTGAACAGCCATTACACAACCCATTCCTATCCCTTCATTCTGCAGAACTTTGCTTGCCTGTCCAATGATTTGGCTTGTGGTACAAAGGAAGGTGAATCCAGTTTCCTTCCTTTTTATACTGCTATTCTCATGTGACTGTGTGCATCTCCATTGGACAGGATCGGACTGGAGACACATCACCAAATATTTCATTTGCTGTGCAGAGCCAGGCTTTCAGCACTTGTGCTCAAAGTATCTTCTTAGCTAGCCTTAAGGAAGAAACTGACACTTCCTGAGTCAGCCTACCTACAACACTGTCCCTGAAATGCACTACGTAATGAGTATGGAGTAAAAACATGGGCAATAAGAAGGAATCTTTCCCGAATATGGAGTTCATCTTATTTGAGCTTTCATTTGGAAATTGCAAGTTACTAGTGTTAAAAAGCATTTGTCTGGATTCAATTCATCAGCACAATGAAAGTCCTACCTTTCTGAAGGACATTTCCACTTGGGTATCTCCATTGAAGTTGAACTTGGCAATAGCATCTCCATATTCCAAAACTTGCAATGGTGATGGCTTTTTGGGCTGAGCTTTCTCAGCTGGTGGGAGGAGCTGGCATGAACAAACAGAATCATATGAGTCACATATAAAAAGCCCATAAACTGGTCGCTGGCAGAAAGGGAGTGGGCAAAGAGAACACCTGCAAGGAAAGCAGCTACCTCTATGTATGATTGTGGGAAGATGCCAACTCTGCCATGGTGTTCGCCTTCATACCAGTTCTGGTCAATCTGCTTGTAAATGTAAACAATATCTCCTTTTTGCAGAGGAAGTTCCCTGTTAACAACACAAGTGCTACATAAGAACATCACTGGAGAACAGATGTGTTCCTTTTCTGTCTAGCAATCCTGAGGTACCAAGGTCTGCATCAGCCCTATTGATGTAAATCATGCTCCATGTGAAGTGAAAGCTACATGTTGAGAATTACATCTGCCTCAATTTTATTATGGGTCCTGGGGAGATGCTGTGTAAATCATCACATGTAGAACATATATAGAATATTCCCAGGACATCAGCACCTGAGAAGAAAAACAGCAAATCCTTCACTGAATTCTGTTCTTTCTTTCTTTCTTCCCCCTAGCAATGTTAAAATAAGAGCTTCTCCAAGGTCAAGCCTTCTAGGCCTTCTCTTCACAACAGTGTCTCCCAAAAAGAACGAGTGTTGCTGTGTGATTCATGCAAGGCACTGCAACAGGGCATGTGGTACACCAGAAGCATCCACTAGTGTATCCACAGATGCCAGGGGAGCAGTGACCACTCTGTAACCTTACAGGTCCTGAATCAAGAAAATCCCGAGTTAAGGGCACACCTAGACATGCTTAAAGTTAGGCACCTGTTTAAGTCCCAGTGCTTAGCACAGTGAAAAGGATGCTGCTGTTTGCACATATATGTTGCTCTGACCACCTGTATGGTAGTAAGCTACTAACTAATACAGTTCTTCCAGCTCCTAAACTGGAGCACAACCAGGGATGTCATGCAGAGGAATCCCTTTCATCTCCAGCCCAAGGGCAGTGACAGAGCTGCTGCCCAAAGGTCTCACCCAGCTGTTGTTCTTACAAGGTGTGTGGAGAAGCATCAGCTAGAGCACTCTCCCATGGCACAACTCACTCCCAGAGGAGAGCACTAATTTGTTCCTGGGTTACAGATGCACTGAGAAAGATGACATGTTCCTAAAAATCCTTTAGAGACTATGACCTGTAAAATTCATATTACTTTTCCCTGTCTTACTATGGACAGCTTCGGTTTGAACTGCTGCAAAGATACTCCCAAAACATGAATGGAATTTTACAACACTTCAAAAATGCTGCATCCTAGGGGAAAAAGCAGATGAAGAACACTCAAGGCAGTAGTAACGAGCTGTACTCACTTTAGCGTCTGTGCTTTAAAGTCAAACTTGGCTCTAGCAGGTCTCATCTAGAGATCAAACAAAACAAAACAAAAAAAAACAAAACAAAACAAAAAAAACCCAACACATTAAAATTAATAATTATGGTTTTAACCCTCTTCTGAGGAAAAACACCCAAACTCTTCTATAGCTAACATTAGTCTGGGGAAGAAATTGAATGCAGGTATTCTGCTACAAGCTTGTGTGCAACTAGTACTACAATGCAAATATGCTGGATGGGTCTCTCCCACCAGGGCAAAAAGTGCCAACTTCCGGTATAACCGCAACTAAGAGCTCTACAGGACATGGATTAACACCAATAAACTTTTAAATGTGACAAACCCTGCTGAATGAAAGCTGCTCCAGTAACTACAGTTACTGGGGGCTCCAGGACCATATTTCCCTTGATATCTGAATGGAAAAGCAAAATTTACTATCTGGGGACAAGAACAGCAGGATTTTATTTGGTGTCATTCTTACTGGTTATATTACCCAGCCCTGCTGATTCCTGCAATCTGACCCATGTATTCTGCATAAATTGGTAGGAAAGAGACAAAGGTGAGGAGGAAATATGAATAAATTAAGTATGTGGCTAAAAAAATGTCTCCAGTGGCTACAAAGCTGAAGATAACATGGACAGCAGGCCTTTGCTTTAAAGCTTGATTTACTTGGCTGATTTTCTAATGGCCACAAAATATTCAGACAATTTTAAAGTAATTTTGGTAGTAGAGCATAAAATAAGAAGCAGTCACATTCATGTGGCACCAGAGCATCTGAAAGTACATAGAAGGCAGACAAGCGTACTCCATCCATGCGGTGACCACCTCAAACCACTGCTGCAATTCAGCACCTCTGGGGAAACAGAGCCACTGTCAAAAGCCCCAGCAAAAATCCCTAAGGCAGAAAAAGGCATTTGGTCAGGACACCTGAACTAGCATCCAGCCCTGAGGAAAAGTGCCTTGGGCTCATGGGAAATCCATCCACTTCCTCCTTTGTCTCTTTCAGAAAGACCAGCTGGGTCATATGCAGTGAAACATGCTAAGACTTTTTCCATTTGTTTCTAAAGGACAAGAAGCACCTTTCAAGAGGAAAGAAACAATCTATTTCTAAGTAACACTACAAGACAGTGACATGGCCAGGATCAACAAGACATAAAGTTTCTAAGCATAAGGCACAGACAAGATGACAATGTAGCAATATGATGCAAAAGATGTAGAATGCCTTTGATTCACTAAAAGTAGCTGATCTTTAAAGGCATGCATCACAGGTGTGCACCAGCAATTCTCAGCAGCCATGCTTTAACATATGCAGCTTGGTAAAGAGGTATCAATTAATTTACCAGGCACAAGAGTCAAAGCAGATCTAAATGAAGCCAGAATGGGAAAGAGGAAGGTGGAAAAAAACCCGAACAACATTCTCTGAAGAGCTAATGTCGGCCTAAAGCACAACTTTGTGAGAGGCAAATATTGCTTTGGGTCAAGCAGCAGACTGAGGTAACTAAAACAGACCTCTGACCCAGATTTCCTCTTTGCTGTATCGTCTACATTTAGGAGGTCCCCAAATCGCTCATTAGTGATAAACTGATGGTGCGTTGGAATAACCCCTGTGTGCCTTCTAGCTGCAATATCAGCTTCTTCTTGCTCACGTTTAAGCCGTCTCTGGTCCTCTAAAAGTTTCTGCCATAAAATTGCATAAAATGGGCAGTAAATCATCTAGTTAAATGTACTCAAAAGCTGCCATAAATGTGACTTAAATAAAACTTCTGAGACTTAATGTGACTTAAATAAAAATTCCAGCAAATAGCTGGAATTCTACAGTTCAACATAAAAAACTGATTCTGCTAATTACACAAGAACCTTTCATTTTGCAAGCACAGAAAATAAAACACCATTATGGCATAACTGAAATCCAGCTCAGACAGAGGATCTGATCCAAAGCTGATGGAAGTCAACAAGGATTTTTTCTAAGATCTGGAGAGGTCCTGGGAGCTTCTGAGAAGATTGCTGATAATACAGATGGCTGATCCAAACACCCTTCAACCAACAAGGTTTCTCTCATTGACTTCCAAGAGACCTGAATCAGCTCCACAAGTAATTTCCAAGGCATCAAATTCCCCTGGGCTTTGCAGAGAGCTTCGGAGAGATCCTAACCACCTTCAGGTTTCAGGTCGTCCACACTTCCTTTGGTTTCATGTAATATACTTTGTAAAATAAAGTAAATAAACCCCAAATAATTATTTTGGACTTCTGAAGTCTCTGGAACACTAAGGGAAATGTGCATGCTCGAGCATCTGGGTAGAAAGATTCTTCTGCTATTTAGGGCTGATTGTAGGCTGAAGAGTTCAGCTCTATGCTAATTTATTTGAAGCCAGCATTCTTAGTGAATTCAGAGTTTTGCTCTTACATGACTTTTTGTGCTGGATTTCAGAAACAGGGGGATTGCCAACTGTTTCACAGGAGAAGACAGAAAAAATATTTTTCACATAGGAATTAAGAGCAGGTTTTACCATCTTTCAAAGCACACATACACATTATCTGAACTCAGAAAGTCAACACTAAAAATGTAACTTCCCCTCCCCACTCCCACAGTGAAAATTAATTCCAGCTTCCTGGAAAGCCATCACTTTATAACTTCTTTAACTCAGTGTGAATACAGTCAGTGCTGAAAAGTCTGTGTGGCTTTCCTATTATTTTGGCTCGTGCCAGTGTTGCCCAGCCATTTTGAAAAGGACTGCTACATTCTGCCATCAACAACTTGAGAAACCATAAAGAATTCTAGTTTGCAGTGGGGGAAAACTTCACGCTTTCCAATAGCTTAAAATATCTTACATTTGCTGTTCAAAACATAAGGACCCCCACAAGAAAACACTCTTCTCACCAGTTTGATTAATACTGACTCAAGTGGCTTGCTTGGAGAATAACAAAACTTTAATTCACAGAACAACCATTTCATCTGTATCTGTCAGTACTGGGGTGTTGTATCACATCTCATACACATCTCCAATCTTTTTACAGTCTTTAAAGCCCCCATATATAATTTTATGCAATTGGTAAGAACTATCAGGTTTATTTTAAACAAAAACTATTTTGGACCACACATTATACATTAAATCAGTGGCAGAAATTTTACTAAAATTAAAACATACTAGTTCCAGCTAGATTGCTCTAACTTCCAATATACATAGCCATGGACATACAAGCTGTCCTTAAATAAGGCTGAATGCTGTATTTCTTATATATGCAGCTGCTACAACTGTTATTAGGTCATAAAGGAGGGCATTACCTCTTTATCGTCATGCCGTCTGCGGATAATTTCTTCTGGAGTTTCCATGTAATCAACTGGTGCAAAATGCCTTGGTGATTCTGAATCTACTTCGAAACAACATAAGGAAGTTAAAATACAGCTGGATTTATCTAGCATAACCAGAAAGGAAAAGAATAGGTATTTTTAAACAATTTGTTTCCATTCTGACAATAAGGATTCTCAATTGCTGTAGATCAAATTGCCAATCAGACGCCCAATAATTTATCCATTTTTATTTTTTTCCCGTTTGGGCTGTACTTGTGAACAAAGATCAAAAAAAGAGGGAGAAAATAACAGTACAAGAAAGTGCAAAGACATAGAAGGACTTTGTGAAGAAAAAATTCGCTGCCGTCAGAAGTATGATTTCGCATTTTACTGTTGAGAAAAATCTAACACACACACACGCACGCGCACACAACTAGACCTTGATAAACTACTTCTTAAAGCAAATCATCTGGGTTTGTTTTGTGTTCCCATGTGTGCAAATGATACAGGACTAGAAACATCTCATGTTGAGATTCTTGCATCCCCAGAGTTGCTTGAGAGGTAAACTGAACCTGATGTGATTAGAAAGGCAGCGGAAATCATTTCTCAGAAATGCAGCTGCTAACAAGTCCTGAACAAAAATGTCCAGCAAGACAGGCAAAGGACATTTAGACACACAAGGGGAAAAAACAGAGTCAGGGGAGGCAAAGGTGAGGAGTAAAAATGCAAGGGCTGTGGAAGAAAACGGGAGGGTAAAGGGAGCAAGAAGACAGATGAAGGGACACTGGTAAAGAACACAAAAAGCCACCTCCTAGGTACGTCCCAAGTTCACTCTGCGGGTTGTTGTTTGTGTCCAGGCTGTGACAGAGGGCATATGGAACATGGTTCATATTGTTTAAAGAATCAGGAGTGTCAGCCCGGCCCATGAAGCTATCTTGGCTAGATCCCATGATGGGGAAGTAGCTAAGCCTCTCCACAATGTCATAGGAAGACAGGCGCATGGGGGCTAGAGGCCTGCTTCTGGTGGAGCACAGTTGGTGCTGGAAGTGGTGACTCTTGTCTCCTATGCTTCCCTGCAGCTGTACAGGGTCATCTGGGTTCTCAGGGTCAGGTACTGCCGGGCTTCCCGGGCAGTCTGGGGGTGGAGTCCTGCGGGATTTGTGTTGTAAGGGCTTTTTCAATCGGAAGGGCAGCGGGCTCATTAGGTAGACATTTCTGGGGAGCATGTGTCTGTCCCCATAGACATCCCCTTTGGAATCAGGGTTCCTGAAGGCCTGCTGTTGCTCATGCCTTCGGATGGTAGTGAACCTGGTGTAGGAAGCTGGGCATGTGCCTTTGCATCTGTTGATTTTATGCTTCTGAGGCCCACTGAGGTTGCTACTGCCACCGCTGTCGTTGGATGCATTTGAGAGAAGATCTATTTCATCGGTGCAAGCTGAAAGTGTGTCCATAGGGATGGCATCACTGACATCTGAAGCTGTGTCCTCTATGTTGCTGCAGGACCGAGAGGATTTATCTGCCAAGCTGGTAGCATCCTTCTCTTCTTGGTGTGCTTTTGGCAAATCCAGAAGAAACTCTGCAGAGCAAGCTGAACTCAGGCAAGTTTTAGACTGGAGAGAAGTGGTGAATTTGTTTTGTCCAATGGAAAAGTCAAGTGAGGGCATTGATCGGGATCTCTGGATCAGCTGCTCAAAGGCACTGATACGCGAGGAAACAGTATGTTTGGGAATCTGCTCTGAATCCTCTCGACTAAGGCTGTGCTCCATCCTGTCCTTTGCTTCATTCTCAAACTGAGATGCAATATCCCTCACACTGCAGGAGGAGACTGTGCTCAAATGGATCCTGGACCGGTTGATCTGGTGCATGTCTTTATACAGCATTGTAAACTCCATCCCACTCTTCCTGGAGGCAGGGAACAGGTAGCCTTTCCTAGAATTGGTGCCATACTCCTGCAGGCTCATGGTACTGCCAGATTTGATGGTATACTCCTGCTTCGACTTCATTAACATGTTTTCTATGCTTTCCCCTATGTCTACCATGAAAGCTTTTTTATTATCAAACAAGGTAATGGAGCTACGAAGGTTTTCGCAGCTTTGAGCTTTCTCGTGAGACAGCAAGATACCCTTCTTGTCCTGCACAATAACAGCTGGAGCTGCTAGTTTGGGTTTGAATTTAGAAGGGAGGATTTCAGTAATGCAGGCTTTTGCAGCTGATAAGGGCTTCTTATGCTTATATGCGTGACCTAACATACCGGTATGACTAGCGTTAAAGGTTCGGCTATTAACTGAAGAGGGTGCAGTCATATGAACATTCCCACCTTTACGATCCACTGGTAAGCATGCAGAATAAAATAAATACAACCTGTTAGCTTAAGTGCTAGAAAGCTGTTGAGAAAAGGAGAAAGAACATGCTTGGATCTCATAAAATGCACTTTAAAGAAACAAAGTTTCAAACCAAAGAAAAGCAAGCAGAAACTGCACAACAAGCCACACGTATACCAGTAGGTGAAGTGCTGCTAACATCTCTAAAATGAAAGGCTTGGCCAGAAGCAGACCTGGAGCACTTTGAAGGTACCCTCCTAAAAAGTGCTAGCATCATCAGCTTCTAGTGAAGCTGCAGCACCATGGGAAAGGGCAGCTGAATTCTGGGGAGGATCAGGGTGTCAGCAAGAATGCAGAGGCACTAACATTGTAAAATGGCTTAATACTAAGCCCTGTAATCACACCTACTATGGTCTCATCACAGTGCTTGCCAAACAGTTTATTTCTGCGAGGAAGACAATTTGTGGCTGACTGTGCTAGCACACACAGGCCACATCAGCTGGTGTTGCTCAAGAACAGCCTGCTTTGAGAGTTCCCATACTAGGAATAAGCCGAGTGTCCTTCAGACACTGTGGTTGGCCATATTTGCTTTAAAAATCAAGGAGTCAGATCAGGACGCTTCTTTATTATTTTTAAAACTCAGATTCAGTCTGGTTTCAGCTTAGATTGCAGTTTTTAGGTTGGTTTCTGATTTGAATTTAAACTCAAATGTCAAAATAGCCATTCAGGTTCAACTGCAGTTTGGGGAACAATAACTGTCTGAACAGATTTTTTTTTGTTCAGACCCAGTTTGAATCCCTGCCCTACAAGCCTGACATAATGCTGAAAACAGCTGGAAGATGGAGACAGAGAAAGACCTTTTTGGTATGATGTACTATTTTTAGGGAGAGCAGTTCAGAAAGCCAACACATTCCTTCCTCAGTCCTCTCCCCATCTGAAGCCATTTTTAGGTTGAAGCTGGCTCAGGATATATTCCCCAGTACAACTCCCTGAAGGGAGTCAGGCTCTTCCTTGCCCTAATCTAGAGTCCATGATGGGGGAAGGAAAGGGGAAGAGATGCAGCAGTCCCTGCTGCCTCCCTGTCTCAGAGCCTGCAGGGCATTGCTGGTTCAGCGTCCTATGCATTCTCTGCACACTCCTGGCAGGCAGAAGGCTGTGGAACACACAGTGCCAGCTACACCAAGGTAGCCAGGCCAGCAGACATGGTGTGGCCTGCTGAGATACCACAGCAGGAAGAGCAGAAAGGGCAGGGAAGGGCTCTAGCATGGCAAGGTAGTGGGAGTGGATGGATAATAAGGCCAGCCTAAGCAGCCTTGAGGAAGAACATGAGGGTACGGGGTGTGGCTGAGGTGCTGGATGGAAGGAGCTGGTCCCTGTTGGTAAGAGGAACCTGGATCAGATAAAGGGGTCATGCAAATTATTGGCCAGTGTGGTCTAAGACAAAAATGGAGGGAAAACTGGGGATGGCAAAGAGGGAGGACAAGGAAACCTCAACTTGCTTGAGGACTCTCAACCCTGCAGCAGTTCACACCATTATCACCTGTATTTTGACACTCTGTGTAGAATGAAGAAGACATTAGTGCCCTGACCACCTACCTTTTGTGGAAGCAGAGCTAGAAGGTCGCTTGAGGCCACTCAGGCCCTGGAATGGGATATCTCCACCTTCAAGCACACTCTTGTAAATCTGCCTTTCATTCTCCAAGCCAGCAGGGTCTGGTTCTGATTCCCTCTTCACTGCATGGTAGTTGGGTGAATATGCAGAGCTGGAAAACACAAAAGAGGAGGGTCACCAGTAAGTCATTTCTGTTTGCTGAGAGCTTCATACAGAGTAAGAGAAAATCACTCTTTGTGAACATAGAGTAAACCGTGTATGAAGAATTGGTTCTGAATGAAGAACACAACATTTCGATAACGTTCTAGATTTGGCACTACCATAGCATTCTCCACCTGAGGGAACTGTCCCAGCTCAGTCCCACAGAAAACAGGTGGCAGAAAAACACTCCTTTATTTCACAGATGAGACAACAGAGTCACAGAGGAGATGCACGATTTCTTTACAGACATAAATTCACTGGCTAGCTGGAAACAGAACAAACAACTTCCAGCTCCCAGCCCTCTCTCCTTAAACCCTAGCCTTGCCTGTCCCCTGCTTACAAAGCGCAGCTGCTCAGGACTTCATCCCAACCAACTCAGCTTCCCAGTTAACACTATAGTTCAAGACTCCCAGAGCAACTTCTGAATCCCACTGGTAGGGGAACTATGCAGAGAAGAAACAGTGTGGGGCTACAGACACCACTGTTTTAAATATCAAGGAAATTCCCAGATGTACAGAGTTCTACTCAGCTTTTCCTCAGGCATCCACTACAGGAATGAAAAAACCTGGACTCTGGGTCTACCATGCAAATATATAAGCAAAATGCTGTTAAAATGAGTACAATTTTAATTTCTTTGGCTTTTAAGAACTGAACATTCATTACAAATCCCTTTCCTCAGACAGGAATCTGAGCACAAGCATGCCCCTACATCTGATTTCTAGATTTCATTCTAAAAAAATAATCAACAATGCCATGGTATAAATGGCCTTTCCAGGTACAAAAGACCGAGCAATTAGGCAGACAGTGTTTTTCTAAAAGCTAAACTCATCTGATAGCAGTTTTAGCGCTGAACTGGGCTCTTCAGAATCAGATGCAGTTTTACACAAAGCTATTCTGGGGCCAAAGCATGACTGCTGGAAAGTTTGAAAAAATAAAGTATGGCATTTGCCAATTCATGGAAACATTTTGAAAGCCGGTGAACATTGTGATGTCCAGGAGTGATTCAAATTTATGTAAGTGTGGAAACGCTTGTGGTTATGCCTGCTCGTTGTGGGTAGATTTATACATGCATCTGTTTATTTTGGATAGACACTGTACTTATGGGGAAAGAGAAAGATTTCAAATACATCAGAGGACTGGCTATGGAGGTGGAATTACACAGTGTCTGGATCACAAAGAAGATTTTACTTTCTGGACAAGGAAAACCAGGTCATACGCAGTCTCATAGATTGCTTTCTGGAGTAAAAGCTCATGAAAACCACCACAAAAGAGAAAGGGAATACTGTCAGTTTTTCAACCTAGGCAATGCTCAAACAGACCGATAGCTACACAGCAGTTGTGTTTACAGGGGTTATCCAAGTGCTTCTCTTTGTCAGGTTCCCTGACAAGAAAGCCCTGCCAGTTGCTGCGGGGAATAATGACTGCCCTGAAGTTCCTCACCTGGGAAGTAAAAGCATTTTAGCCTAGTTGTTAAAAACCGAAGAGTTAAAACAATCCACCTTTCAGCATACACCTGGGGGAGAGAAAAGGCCTTTGGCAGAGTTCCTTTACCAGTTGCTCCCTTATTAGGGCCAAAGCAGGCTGCCACATCAGAATCAGATAAACAGAGGGAAGAGCAACACTGCAAAAAAAGACAATAAACTCCAGGTATCTTTTCTCCCCACTCTCTAAAGACAGGGCAGGGAAGAATGTGCAACTCACACACCAGGCCTCACTATTTTGTCCCATTCCTAGACTATTATTTCACTGGCTCAGGTACTGGCATGCCTGTGTACTTTGGGTGGTATCAGAAAGGGCACAGACAGTGCTGCTGTGGGTGGAAACCTTACCAGTCCTTTGGCAAATATAAGCTTTTTATGCTAATCTCTGAGATTTAAATTTATCTTATAGTTCTCTCTCTACCAAAACAGAACTAAACAGTCATAGGAGCAAACAACATAATACAGCGGTGTGTGAGTTTCCCAGCACAATGAGCACAAACAGAAGGCAAGAGAGTTCAAAGTGCAAGAGACCTCTAAGGCAGTCCCAGAGAGGTGGCGAACACATGTGATATTAATGAGTGTCTGAAAAAGAACATTCCTTTCCTAACAACCATCCATGTAGAGGGGATCTCTATGCCTACAGACAATATTAAGCATCCAGTCCAATTACAAGGAGCAGCTCCCAGTAGGAGCTGGCTCCATGGCTCAAGTAACTTAGTACAGCTTGAGTAACTCAGCACAACTCAGCATCCTTATCTGGATGTGTTCTTTGTGTGTGCGTTCCTCTTTTAAAACAAACCAGCTCCATACGCAACGAATTTAGACAGAGTTTACTGTTTATTTGGTATTCCTCCAGAAAAGCAAAGCCACATTAGAACTTTAGAAATCTAATTTAGATCTTTTTTTTCTATAGAGAAAAATCACTATTACCACTGTTCCCCTCCTGGAAGCTGGAAAACTATTGCCTTCCATCAACAGTATCCTTTTGATCTGGTGCATGTAACTGGGAACATCTAACAGGAGCCAATCTATCATACATGTGTATCAGAAAAAAATTTTCTTTATTCCACACAATGAAGTTACTTGCACGAAGTTACAATCAATTGGCAAACTTCATGATGGAGATTAAAAAAGCCAAACAACAACAAAAACAGACCTTAAAGTCATTGTCTACCACAAACAGCAATTCTTACCTAGACAATAAAACCACTCACGTAATTACTTCAAAATTCATTCAAGATCAAACAGCAGATACTGTACCTGGACTCATCTAAAGCACCTGTATAATTCTCATGGTTCACACATTTGTCTATATCCACCACCAAAAAATAAAGCCAACCCATTTCCAACACCCAAAACCCTGTCCTACGTGCCCTCCGATGGTAAAAGAGACATCAAAAAGCAATTGGAAAACTTACTAGGAAGAATGGTCTGTGGAAGTTTCCAGAGGAGTGACACCTGCTGTATTCTGCAAAAGTCCAAACAAAGGAGTCACTGACACATACTTACACATAAGGAGAAAGAAAAAGGCTTGCATAAGTAATTTCCCATCTATTGCTTGAATATTAGACTTTAGAAGACATTGAGGTGTAAGTCTAAATGCAATTTAAGCTGTCAATGTCTTTGCAGAAAAGTGAGTTCCTTCAGGGCAGTGACAGGTTTTTAGCACAGCCAATGCCTTTTCACAGAGCCTATTCTTTGTCTGCAAATGAGTCATTGTGAATAAAGCCAAAAGCAAGAAGAGATAACCAGCTGGGCCATGACCAGGAGACACATGCTCATAATTATTTCCCCAAGCTTTTTCCCCAACCAGTCACTGCCCGCCTTTGCTTTAAAGGTATATTACATTTCTGCAGTAAAACATTCCCCAGCATTCAAAAAATAGTATCAAAGCACTAACAAGTAAAGCAATGTTTCAGTTCAGTTTCCTTACTTAAGAGAAGCAACACCAGCTGCACAGGTTCAATAGCAAAAGCCAGTTCTCATCCGCTTGCTTTAAATCCATCTAACACTTCCTAGGTACATTATTTAAAAAATTGAAGGCAATTTTAGAAGAAATACTCTATCTTGGTAACTATCTGAGAATTCCTATCTAGACAGAAAAAGCAAATCTTGGGTGTGAAAAAGCAGCTTGTTCAGGTCCTGGTGAAATGCCGCAGCTTCAAAAAAAAAAAAAAAAAATCAACCACGACAGAATAAAATAGAAGAAATGGCGTGTTACCAAATTAATCTATTACTTCACGGTTCGGGTCCTGCAGACCCTCAAAACAGCAGCAGCAGCTGACCTGCCCTAGAAGGCCATGGCAAGGTGCAGCATAAGAAAAATTGTGTAAGATCTCTTGGAAATATCCAAATCGTGGGTAGGCATGAGCTTCTAGCAGAGAGCAGGGCTTGTATGAAGGGAGGGTAGATGGCAACACGCTTGAAAGGCACAAGATGATGACGTGATGCCAACCAAGAATTTTAAGCTGATTGCTGCTGCCTATTCATGTGAAAAATAGGGGTTTTTTTGCAGACACTGAACTCAAAATCCTAAAGGGGGATGTGGGGGGAGGGAGGGGTTGGGCAGCTGAAAGGGAGTGTGAGATAGAGGAAATCACTGCAGATGTATCTGTATCTGAAATGGATTTCAAGCCGGATTCTCAGCATCACGTTCTATTATTTCTGACAGCAACACAGCAAGCCATGCAGTCAGAAGGGTCAGAACCATTATTTATCCCAACCTCATTTAATAATCATCCAGCAGTGAATAGATTAGAGCAGAGAGTTTGGAAACAGGGATTGGCAGCATGAAAAGAATAGGAAATACCTTCTGTGGCTTTTTATGTGGCGCTTTATAAAGCTTCTCCATTTTTTCTAAATCTGCCTCTAACTCAGTCTGGTAGAGGTAGAGGTCTTTTTCTAGATCAGTCTGGTTAAAGAAGGAGAAGAAGAATGGGAAAATAATGCTTAGGGTTAGGGGAAACCAAAGGAATGTTAATTAAAAAAAAAAAAGGCGAGCCTTTTAATCAAAAAAAGACAAAGATGGTTTGGACAATACAGAGAAATTCACTAGTAATTAATCATGTTTCAATCATTACAGAGGAAATAGTTTTAGGCATTTAACACTGAAAATTAAGAGATGCACAGGCCTGATAGAATCTAATTCTACAAACCACAAAGTTATAAAACCCACCTGTAAAAAAAAATAAAAATAAAAAAAATACTGTAACAATATGCAATATGCTGTTAGTATCATTATCATTGCAAGTCAAGATAGCAAAACCACCACTCTAAATTAAGGCTGATTATGCTTTAAGAATTGTTTATTAAATCAATTTACTAGCTACTTAATTGTTAGGCTAATGAGCTCAAGCCCAATCAAAACAAATCACTCACAAGCACACAAACCCAAGCAATGCTACAAAAAAAAAATTAAAAAAAAAGAAAACCACATACACACACACATACGCACTAGATGCTGTAGTACAACGTACGTGAGACACAATTACCTTTCTATCCTCTCTAGTAAGGATAGAGCAATCTCCAGGAGTATAATCCCAAATCTTTTTTGGAGGCTGATGGAAAGCAGAGGAAGGAAATGAGGAAATGAAGATAAGGAAAGACATCACAAGAGAATATGGAAACTGGATTAGAACAGAGAGGGAATACAACAGGGGATTTGCATCAACACAGAAAAGAAATTAAAAAAAAAACCCCAAACACAACAGAGAAAGAGAGATAGAAAGAGGGATAAATCTGGTATAGCACAAGTATCAAGAAACCATGGGAGGCAAAAGGGAGCATACATGCAGTCTGGGAGGGGCTGTTTACAGTAGTGTTTGAGGACATTTTTATTTTTTGCAAGGTGCTCTAAGGGATTTTGGACTGTCACAATTGGTGGTTAAAGCATTCTTAGCACAAAAAACAAACAAAATGGGGGGGAGGTTGAAAAGGGGGAAACACAGAGTCATAAAAAGCATGTTTTGCTCATTCTTCTTTTCAAAAGGAAAGGGTAAAACAAGGGCCTTTGATAAAGGGAGGATCTTCCCTCCACACACCAGATTATGAATACATACCAGGTGAACAAATGGCTGAATTTCCAGTGGTGGCATTGTGGGGCAATGAGAATGCAGAATTGTTATTCTTTATTTCACTCGTTTGAGGGTTTGCTTGTGGGGGATTTTGGTGGAAAGAGGAGGACATGTTGAAGATTGAGAACTAGTTATTTAAAATTAATTCTATAGGTGAAGGCACCAATTTCCAAATAGGATTTTCCTGTTTGGATGCACAAGTAAATACTCAGAGTGAAAGACCTTTGTCCTGACACTCCTATCCAAATGCCATGCTAATACCTTTGTTTCACCAGACATGCACCTCTCACTAATATGCTTAAAAAGACTTTATTCTTACTTTGTGAAATCAGAATACATTTGCTGTTTCCAAACAAAAATAACCTGTTGGCTGGCATTTGGACAGCCATTGTGTGGATGCAAACACTAAATACCTATTTCTTATCCATTAATTCGCAACTGCAAAGATTTAGGTCTAAGATTTGGAGCAAGGAACTGAAGGGAAGGAGGTAAGAAGGCAGGATATGCACCCCTTTTTCCAGCTCCTTGCTTCTCCATTTATAGCAAAGAGCTTACTCAGTGCTGTCTCAGGAAGGGCTGGGAGAAAGTCCGTGTGTGTGTGATGCCACAATCACAGCAGATGACAACCAAGCTCTAGATTGACTGAATGTCAAGTTTTGTAGATGGGCTCCATGGAGCTGCAGAGCCATGGAAGAAGTGTGTGGGGATTTGGTCCCAGGAGCACAACGAAAAGGCATCCATTCTGCAGAGACTGATCTACCTGTCTGTAGGATATGCACACGCATATCCACGGAGCTGCCCAGAAATGCACTGGGGATGTTGGTCCAAGAAAGCATTGCTTCAGCTGCCCTAAAAAGCACATGTGCTTTCCTCAGTGGGAAAAGCCCCATCCGGGGCATTCGGTGTCTTTGGAGAGCAACACCCACAGGCTCACTTTTACATGAATCCTTTTACTGAGGATACATGTTTCCCACCCATGTCACATGGCTGCAAATAAAGTCAGAAAGCCAGGGGAAACCATGCCTGTAGAAGTACACCTTATCTCCAGCACTGGGAAAAAAGCTGGAACAAATAGAATCTTTGAAAATCCCAGGTGCTAGCAAATGTCAGTTTAAACTCTCTGGTTAGGCATGAGACTTAGTTACTAGCCAGTCACAAAAATCTGGTCCTCTCCTGAACAGAGTGAGCAAAACTTGAAAAAGCATGCTCCTTTGGCTGTGGTAATGAAGCCAAGCGGGAGCTTTGCTAGCTATAGAAGTCTGAGATGGCATCCTCAATTCAACTGCCTGATGCCAAAGCATTATGTACAGAGTACCACATTCAGGGCTAGCTTAGCAATCAGGCGTATGGTTGCATGGCTTTGGAGTTAGGGCAAGTTGACATGGAATATTATGATGGATTGTTGGTGTAGCCTGAGATGCCCTCTTCTGAAGCAAGGCCAAGTCTGCATAACTAAAAGCATGAATGCACGCTTCTAGAGGAACAGATATACCCTCTCTCCTAGAAAGGCCCAAGGGGATAAATATTCTCTTTTCTCTGACATGTCTTCCATCAACTTACATTAACTTGAAGGATCATGGAGACGACAAACATTCATTAATTTCAAGAGCACAGGGCTATTAATTACACAGCAGCAAAGACAATCAGGTTTCTTCTCACTTTGTGGAAATCTTAAACTGTGACAACTTGTGAAGAGTTAAATCCTTACATCACTTAAAAGCCTCGGTGAGGTGGGTTTTACCTAACTTCTACTGCCTAAAAGTTAGGGGGTTTCATTTCAAACACTGTTGAAGCTCATTCTTTGGCTTAGGATAGAAGGTTCATAGCTATAATACATAGTTTTCTATGACAAAATAGACTACCATACAGTCACTATACATGTTTGTTTTTCAGCAAAAATTACACTATTTCTATAATGTGATCAGACTGGGCACCCAACCTCAGGCAACCACAGCCTGTGCAAAGAAATTTTGCCATTTCCATGAGAACGAAGGCTAGATTTAAAGAAAACCTGTTCTCTGGTGTCCATGTGCAGTTGCAAGCACTGAACTTTAAAACGTAATTCTGTTTTCCTGTACATGCAGGGAAATCTCAGTAGCACTCAACAATGGTGTGCGTGGGCAATTCACAACTGACCTCCAGGAGAAAGGAGAAACAACCACTATACTTGAGTAGATGTAAGAGGCTGCTACTGACCCTTTGGTGCAGTAAGAGTAGCTTATTAAGCAGTATTTAATAATGAAGTTAACAGTGTTTAACCAGCAAGAACCAAGCCAGAAAATGCTTTAAAGTCGCATTTTTTTCCAGTAGCCATGACCACTGTTGTGTTCTCTCCATCAAAATGCCCTTTGTCCTATTGAATAATTAAGCTTTGCTTCATCTTTTCCAGAGTGGGAAATCAATGCTTTTTTTTTTTTCCTTTTTCCTTTCCCCACACATAGCAACACATTTGTAAAGAAAGCACACTGTTCTCAAGACTCCTTTGGTTTCAGGAAGTAGCAAGGGCTATTCAACACAGACTGATGCACCCCATTTAGGTAAGCTACATGCATTAGGAAATGAGCAGGAAACAGGGTCATGATCTGTTTATGGATAGCTGGAAATTACCGACCTACAGTTTACAAGCCAAGGCCAGGAATAAACGAGCGATTCTCCTTGACTTAAAGCCACCTATCAGACATCCAATATCTTGCCAGGCAGAGGGAGACTAACGGCTTGAATTAGGCCTTTCAGTAATGAGAACAAGGCATTACTTCTACATATTAACAACAAAAATGCAGTTTGAACTATGGTGTGTGAAAAAATACTGTCTTGTTGATACACATGTCTGGAAGGTGGGGAATTCTGTACATGACAAAAACACTTAAAGTGGTCACAGAACAGCTGCTTTGCATCAGGACCAGGATGATGTTATGAACAATCACTTTTTTAAATGAGTGAGGCAACTGTTCTAGGTTTAAGGCCTAGCAAAGGAATGTGACAATCATTAAAAAAAGGAGGGAAGGGGGGGTCAAAAAAAAAAAAAAAAAAAAAAAAATGGCAGGTTGACTTCATTGGTCACCGCAACTATCAAACTTACCGGTTTCCCAAACTCCAATTCCGAAAAGAATTTATACCAAGGTTCATTCTTTAAATCTATCTCTTCTGGGCTTATATCCCGAGTCTAAAGGAGTTGGTGATAGGGGAATGGAAGAAAGAGAAGGATAACATTATGCAAAGAATACACAGAAAGGGACTGTTAGAGATGCAGATTCCATGGTTCCCATTCTAAAATGTAGATATTTCACCTTATAATTTGGAATTTCCGTAGCATCTCTCTTACAAAGGCCATGAACTGCTTTGCAAACATCAGTTAAGCGTAACGGCTTCATTGTGAGCAAGATGAATATGAATGAATTACATTTTACAGATCAGGAGACCTACACAGAGAGAGATTATGCTGCTTGCCCAGAGCCGCAGGGAGACTCAGTGGAAGAGCTGGGAATCAACCAGTCCCTCAGTCCTACTGCCAGACACTCCACTGAGTCCAAAGTTGCATGTACTTAGAAATTTTTTTTTTGATCTTCATTTGGTTAAAAATAGAGATTCAGTAAGACCTGAATCAAATACTGCATCTTTAACAGCACATGAGTATGTGAGAAACCCTGTTCTATACACTGCAAACAGAGTGAAAGGTGGTTTTCTGAATCAAAGGAGACAAGTCAGAGAGAGTGCATCCTTGAAAGATCTCTGAAGGGATGGATAGAGCGACAATATTACTTGTTTCTTCACAAATAAATGTTAGAGAATCAGACAAAACCACAACAAAGGAAAAATCAAACAGGACAGAAAACAGTGCAGTTGAAAAGTAAGTTCCCTTTTGTTTGTAGAATCTGTTTTAGTGAAACAAAAAAAAGTTGAAATAGTTGTAGCTGTTTAAAAATATTACTGGTGAGATAAGAGAATAAAGTCCATTGCTGAGGGTTATGAGGTGCCACCCTCATAAACACATCTAGCGAACTCTTGCATTTCAGAGTACCTAGTCTTAGACATAATGGATCTCTGTGCATTAAAAATATAAATACATTATATCTGATATGCCAGTGTGATTCCAAGTGCTCTATCACAACAAGCGATGAGCCACACACATCCACAGAGAGCCAACACAAAGTATCTTGATGCAAATCATCCTGTGATGGGGTTACTGAGACAGTGGGGAGTTCCCAACAGTGCTGGGCTTTGCAAGGTGTCCCAGACTGACACAGCCATTAGACATCACAACAAATGCTCCAGGACAAGAGCTCATGAGTGATCTGAAAGAGGGGCAATGCTTCAATATGAAAAATAAATCATTATATCTTGTTTGATCTCCAATGGCCTAAGGAATATTTGACTATTTCTTAAAGGCACAACAGAAGCAATGCCTCCATTTTCTTGATTGTACTCCAACTAGAAGTACTCATCTTGTTATATAACTGCCTTTACATGGAAAGAAAGCCCACTGACATCAATGGGAGGCTCTTCATTGCTCTGAAGTGGTTTTGAATCCATGTCATGCATGTGACTGCCAGAAGATATCACAAATCTCCTGCAACCTCCTTGAAAGATCTAGTTGCTAACCTCTATATTAGTGTTGTATTTAATGAGACTGACAGAGACCATGAAGCCACTTCTTCAGGACCTCCTTTCTTCTGTGATCTATGGCTTGAAATTAAAGCTCAAAAAATAACATTGGAAGTAATACATTCTTCTTGTCTTTGATGATCTTTGTACAATTTTTCTCAATTATGCTGATGATAGTCCTTCAAATTAACACCGACATAGAACAATTGTATCTTTCTGTACCATTTCTAGCACTTACACAATTATACCATTGAAGGACACCTTGACTGAGCTGTGGTGACTTACACAGGACTGGCTTAGGAGGTTAGCATTACCTCTCTGCCCTGCCCCTTGCCAAGTGTTCTCAGCCAAGCCTGCAGAATGAGACTTTTGTATGTCCCCTAGCTGTCACAATTCACAGCAGTACTTACTGATTCAAACTGAAACTGGTAACAGCTCACTTAGTACTCCAGGTTACACACCGGCATAGCTGGGGAGCCAGCTCACATTCAGTTTTGCCACCTCTGACATAGAAGTGGTGAGACCAGCAGCCCTAGGGAGGATGGCCATGTCGTAACGCACCTCAGAGGCATTCCCTGAGGTACATTATACGCACTCTAAAAATCAGGCATTTGGTGTTCAAAGCATCAGAGGAACGTAGAAACTGAACCAGCCTGCTTTGTTGCATAATGCATTCAATCCTCCTGCATCAACTAATACTGTGCTCTAGAAAAAGCACAGCTGGCAGAACAGCTGCTGAACAGGTCACAGTGTCAAACATGGATTAAAAACTAGGGTTAGTGATCCATACTTAACACAGAAAACAACATGTCGAAAAGGAAAGAAGCCTCTCAATCCCCCTGGATCTTTCTTTAAAGAGAACTAAGATGTTAGGAAGTTATGCAAAACACTTTTCAAAACAAAATATACAGGTAATATATCATGAGCACTGCAATGTCAGCATAAGGAATCCTACCCAAATGGAACCGGACAAGCACTTGAGGAGTATTTTACAATCACAGGGTAAAGGCACAAACTAGGATAAAAGAAATATTACCATCTTTTCATTGTTCAGAACCGAAGACTTTCCTGGCTGGTAGTCATAAATGCTTCTGGGCTCTGCACGGTATTTTCTGGTGTCCACCTTCTTGTCTGGAGGCTCCCAGTCAGTCCTGAGGAAAGAAAGATCAATTAACCCAAAACACTGTGGCTTCCATGGAGATAAGCACTTCTATTTGACAGGCGCCTTTCCCTGTTAATCATAGTTAAACAGGGTATTTGTTTTGATGTAGGAAAGAAGCCTGCTGCAAAATGAATAGTTCAGATAGGGCTCCAGTTTTTATCTATAGCAGTTTGATATAGCTCAGCTGCTGACATTGTTGGAGCAGAGGGAGTTTTTTGCAAGTACTTTCACACTAGCACAGTTCAGACAGCAGTAGTCACAAAGTATTCAGGGTCCATATCCTACAATGTTTAGCTCCTCTAAGAAGGAATATAGAAAAGGATAATAGGAATAGGGACTATAACGAAGGATAAGGAAGGAATAAAGGAATATAGGATAACAGGAAGCACTAATTATTGCAATCTTTTCACTTGCAAGAGTTTTCTCAGAGGGCCAATGCAGTATGATTTCAATTCCTGCATAAGAAAGACACGTTTTATCAACAGGCACTGTCTCCTGATCCAGAGGCCCGAGATGTTCACTGAATTAGCAATCTCAAACTATGGCATTGTTCATTTTAGGCAGCAATTTTCTTTAAGTGAAAAGCATTAAGAGCGTGTGGAATTTGGTGAGGGGGAAAAAAGATCAGAAGACAGAAAACAAATATCAGAAATGACACTACCACCAAGAACCTACTTCTAATAAAGTTCATATGAGTGGGACTCCTCAAAAATGGAAAATGTAACAAAACTTTTACCAAGGCTCAACATAAATCCAAGTTTTACTTCTCCACAATTATTGCTACTCGCTTGTATTCTAAGTTGCCTTTACAGTGTCACACTGAGCCAAGAGTTTCCACTGTGCCTCTGTGGTAGGCACTGTATAGGCATAACACCCATGGAAGCACTCCTCACCCAGGCAAGAAACTACGCAACAGACTGTGTGATGCCTGGCAAAAAATAAGACAGACAAAATGGGGGATTAGGATGTGATGATGAAGGAGTTCACTGCTAGGTAGTAGAAGAATCCAAGACAAAACTACATCTCTGTTTCCCAAAAAAAAGTTTAAATGGAGTTGTGGACCTAAAGCTTCCACCTTTGTTCCCTTCCCATTCACAGCTCTCAGAGATTCTTCCAGTACTGAAGTTCAGGTCACCTTTCTGGGCTTGATTTCAACGACGAAGTACGGTTTGGCAGTGGCAAAGTAGCAGACCTCTTAACAACCTTCTCTGAATCAATATTGTCCATCTCACTCTTGGAGCGGGGAACTGAAAGCTGAGTTCTGCCTGCAGGATGACAAATATTCAAACATTGGTGGACTGGATAAGAGTCAAATAAATACATGCTTTACATGTCCTTTCTATTTGACAGATTACACAAGAAATGAGAATAACTTACTGTCCTCAGAATAGGAATAACGAGGAGAGTATGAATCAGAATCTTCATCTGAAAGACACAAGCATTTTGCAAGTGAGCTGAAAAAGCCCCAAAGAAGCAGAGACCCTTCTCATTTCTTCTACTAAAATACTGGTCATAATTTGAGTGATATGTCCAATACTTACCACAGGAAGAGGATCCTAAAAAAGAAAATCTCAGTGAGGTTTAAACTGCATTTAAATGTAATTCCTAGATTAGATATAAATATGAATTATTACTTACACTAATACCTTTTTCCAGGCTCTCAAAGCACTTTAGAAAATAATGACTTTTTATCACAAAACTCTACAGCAAGTCTTATTAGATCCACTTTATCAAAAGCTGAAAGGTAAATAGAGGATCTAAAAGCCATAGTATATGCCAAAAAAAATTAATTATGTGCTAGACATAGTAAAGAACTGAGGAGTCCTGCTCCCAATCACATACGATAATCACTGGGACATCTTCGTTGTATTAACTTATACACCAAGTTGAAGTATGTTCACTGACTCAGATTATTTTTTAAGCACAGATAATACTCCTGGCATGAGACACATATATATTTGCACCAAGAGACTGTCCTTGTTCTGAAGACCTTACTTTTTAAATAGGAAAGACATGTCTATAGCATGAAATAGAGATATTCAAGCAGCTCTAAAAGAGCTAGCAATGACATTAGCGTAACAGTGGTGCAGTCTGGTCCCCAGCTGAACTACCTTCTTTCTTTGACAGTGAAAGTACTACACTGCATCAACACAGCAATGTCATTCCCAGAACACAACTGTCACCTTGGGCCATGGAACCACAAACTATCTTATTCAAAGGTAACACGGTACTGTAGTGCACAAGGCAGATGTGCCCAAAAAGAAGGCAGGAGGATGGCGGCATTACCACCCCCCACTTTATAGGTGACGGACAGAGAGACTTTGACTTGATCAAAAACCTGGCAATATCTTTCCACCATCTTCAACAGGCTTTAGAATGAATCCTCAATGAATTGGAAGTAGTTGCAAGGGAAGCTGGGATCAGACCTGGAAATTGGAGCCACAGGCCCATCACCTTTCCATGCTGAGGAGGGTTCAAACTTGCAGGGATGTGTATGTGAGACATCTACAGGACTTCCAAGGCAAAATGCAGGAAACTACAATGCAATGACTGCAAGCACTGTGAACAAAGGTATTACCAATACTTTTGTGAAGAAACCTCTAAAAGTGAGAGATTCAGAGGGAGAGAGACAGAAAGAGAGAAACAAAATAGATGGAGCCAGAATAAGCTAGATAAGAAATGAACATACTAAAAAACTTCTGTGAATTTAGTGATGCCGATCAACAGACTGAAACAATTTCCAGATATTCTCTCAAGAAGGACAACAATAAGCTGCTACAGCCACTCTTATCTGCTGGAAAAAACAATCTAGCTAAAACAGCTGACCTGAAATTGCACTCAAGCCTTAATCAAGCCTTTCAGGAAGGCTCAAATAAGTCCTAACTTTTAGCATCTCTCTTGGTGAATGAATTAGAAGGTTTAAGTTCCAAACAGATGGTTATTGACTCTGGTGTGCTTATCATAACCTTCAGATTAAAAAAAAGTGAAGGTCAATTTTCAGGCCAATTCCAATATTTTAAACCTAGGACAGAAAACAAATATTTATTTGCTGTTATTACACAGAATTGTTCAAAAAATTCACTGGTATTCCTATATAAAAGTTTTGTTTATTCAGACAGCAAACTACTTGGTAAATCACAAAACTCTTGTACCTGCAAATAGAGATGAACAAATGTCTAAAACTATCTTCACAGCCATTCACCTCTCTTAGTCCTTTTTTGTGCAGGTGATCAATGAAAATATTGATTTACATGAAGAGAAATATCAATATTTATTATAGGTCATAATTCAGACAGGAAAATCACACAATGAAAAATTCACTTAAGTGCTATTTTCCAGTTGCTAGCATTCAAATATCTACATTAATATGGAAAACATTTAAGTTTTGTCTTCAAGTATCTTATAAAGAAGAGTGTCTACATTCTTCCCTTTTCATAGCAAGGACTACTGGCACACAGAAATCAGGAATGATTTGATAAAGATTAAAGAATGAATCAGAAATGGGCAGTATTTCTCAGAGCTGCATTCTATCTATGGGACCCTCCCCTTAATGGAGTAGATATCACCAGTTTGTAATGTCAAAATCTGATTGCTATAACAAGAAGAGACTGTTCCCCTGTAGTTCCTTGAGAATCTGCAGGTGGTTGCTTTTGGTTTATGCTTTTTTTTTCCCATGGGTTGGCCATATTTTCTATGTTTCTAGAGAGACTGTAATTATTTTAGAGGACAGCCTAAATTCTGATGTTTCTAGGAGATCCTATGCATCAGTCCAAAGCAAAAAACCACTGATTATATGGAACTGAGGCTTCAGCCCATCTCTGTATAAACACTTTACCACTGAGTATATAAGTCTGAAATGTTTCCTAAGCATGAAACATGCACTCCAACCCATCAGATATTCTGGATTCCTTATGTAGGAAAGAATCCAAGCAAACGTTAGAGAAATATTTCCTAACATATTGAGAATAAAACCCGAGTGCTTGGTCCAAGAAAATTGAACTACCTAAGCCAGCACATTACTTTCATATGCACATTTATAAGTGTACAGGGGACAGTACACCAGACTCTCAATATGTTATCATTGGTTTTGCAAACTGTTATTTCAGAAAAGAGCAAAATGGATCTCTGTAGAAGTCCATTATCAATTAGTTACTGAGACTCTTTGTTTCTCTCTCATCCATACTTGCATACCATTCTACCAACAGAAAATACTTTACACTGCATTATGATTTGCAAGACAGGACTCTTCACCTACAGGTTACACCAAGAAATAAGCAAGTACCTTAGATACCTGAGTGACACTTGTCCACATCTATTTTAACCGTGACATGCTCCTTACATCTCCTAGTCTTCTTAGAGCATTTCAGTTAGAACCCATATTGTATGCTTTCTTCTTATGCAGTACCCACCAGATGTTTAATATAAACATCGAATGAAATGGTTAATAGTCTCACCAGGGTTGGCTTGAGGCACAGGCTAAGTAGGCAAGTTCCTAAATTGCAGGATCTAAAGTGACACCAAAGTGCCACCAAGTCAACAATGTTGTCACCAAAAAAAAATTCCCAATCAGTAAATTTTCACATGCCCAATGCCTGCAGCAGATTCCAGTGTTTCTCATATATGTGTTTTCATGCATACACACACAGTACACAACTATCACTGCAAGACGCTATTTCACCATCCCTGAAACATGACTACAAAGGATTCTTGTTCGTACATGTAGTTTAAAGGAACCTGCTGAGTACATGAAGAGGATCAGGTAAAGACAATGTATATTTGCAAGATGCACTGATGAGACTATTAAACTCTGTCCTTGCCTAGATATGCCAAGTGCACTTAAGGCCAGCCCTGAACCTATGTTACCAAGTTATGTGTATTTTAAATGATTACATTGAGGGACTGACTCAAAACCCACTGAAGCAAGCAGCCTTTTTACCAATAGACTTCATTGGCGTTCTGGGTCTGGCCCTAACACAGTGTTAGTATTCAAAACCAGAAGTCAATAATTAAAGAAATGTATTGATCTGAAAGGGGGTAGGAGAAATCTCAGTTAAACCACATCTTTACGTGTAAGTCAACATTTTAGGCATGTTAAATAATCACTGCACGCACATGGCTGCATACAACTGATAAGCGCATAAAACCAAGCAAACCCCAAGTAGCATTAGTCAAATACTAGTTACAAAGCCAGAGGAGCACTGCAAAGCCAAAAAGGCAGTCAAGGCAATGCTTAGAGTGCAGCAAATCATTAAGAGGCAGCATAATGCTCAGCAACCAGAAAAAAACTCCAGGAAGAAAATAAATGGGTAAGGCAGCATTTGTGCAGAAAAATATATATGGTCCTTTATTACCTTCAGAGATAGGACTAGGAGTAGACGCAGGAAACTGGTATGTAGGAGAATAAGGATTGTCTTCTGCAGCAGAGAAAAGCAGTGGATTTTAAAGCTATCCACAGTAAAGTGGAGGTTCTGCTTCATCCCCCAATTTTCTGTCACCGTATGATTTTATTGCCTACTTTAACAATACTAGAGTAAATGGCATCATGCTTTAAAAAAAAGATTAATGGATTAGCAAAGATTTTGTTATTTTATGCATCACACAAGATGGTATAGTGGGCATAACTGCATTTCCAACCAGTGTAATACATGGGTAACAGAAATCTAGAACCTGCATCTAGTCACTATTAGGGTGCTATAGTACAGTTAACTCAAAGCACAAGACAACAGATACTCTGACTAAACTTCTGGTACCTTCAGTTTTTTGCTGGATTTCAGGAAGTTCAGGAAATATGTAGGTAGGGCAATAAGGGTTTTCTTCAGAAGTGTCTAAGGAGAGGAACGTGATTTGCAAAAAAGAACAGAGAGGACAGATTTAAAGGGGAAGAAGGGCGAGACAAGAATCCATACAAGCTGGCTGCAGAACAGTCTCTCCCATGCTGGTGTTCTAGCATGACACAACCTAGGTGCCTCTTTGCATATTGCTGCCTTGCATGTCTGGGCCCTGTGAGAGATTCTGGAAGCCAAGGGGGCTGAAATAATTCTCTTCCTTCTGAAGCTGAGCTTCTGAAGCTGAGCTTCTAAAGCTGAGCTGAAGAACCTCTGTTAGGAGCACGAGGATTAGGATCTCATTCGATTCGGTACAACACAGCATCAACCTATGCATAAAGCTCATCATGACAGCACCTGCAGCAGCAAATACAGCTCCAGTTTTGCATGCTCTGTGTTTTATTATATAACCATGATTCTGAACTGCATTTACCTGCATGTCAGGCTGTTCAGAGAGTAGTTTTCAAGTGCTACTGCAGCCATTTTTCACACAGAAGAAAACATGAGTGCAGCCAGTCACAGAAGTGCCCCGAAGTAGGGGATCCCCTCAGAGTACACCATTACAAAGTTTGCAAGTGCTCACCCCAATTTTAGGTTTTGAAAAGAGAAAATTTGAGGTTTTTGAAAAAAGCAGAGATCAGATTCTGAACTCACCAAATAAACAATGGAAACCTTTCCACTAGTTTCAGTGAGCTTCAAATCAAGCTTTACAGTGTAAAAATTCCTCTTTTGTACAGAGCAGTTTCAGTGATAACCTACTGTCCTTTAAAAGTGTGCGTGTGTGTGGAGGCTTAGCTGCTAAAACTGGAGTTCAGGGATCTATTTTCTTAAATATGGAGTTATCATCAACTGTCTGAACTCAATTAGTTATCTTGATTTCATGAGGGCACTGCAGTTCACCTTTCAGAACAACTCAGACCTTCCACTGGACTTCACTGTTCTCTCACCTTTGCCTTCAGAGATTTCAAATACATTGTTTGAGTTCTGTGGTGCAGAGCAAACACTAGTTAACATAAGATGTTTCATTTGATTAGCCAGTACAATTCTTTCCATAAATGAAACAAAATATTACCAAAGTGGTCTTTTAAAGTAAATAAAAAAACCCATCTGTGTTACAGTACCTCTGTTTAGCTTGTGGATCTGTTTGAACATTGTCTTGTACCAGTCCTTTGATCTGTCTGTATTCTATTGGAAAAATAAATACGCACATAATCACAACCATGAATTCTACCAGTCTTTCAAAGTTCTTATGAATCTTACAGCAATGAAAAAGGTTTACACTGCTATATGAAATTAATACTTCGAAATACAAGTGATTTCACTCAGATATATAATCTCATAGATAATGAAACTACAGGCTTCACTAAAGTTACTAATAACATACAGGCTTTGCAGGGGTTGGTTATAACCTGTGTAGAATTGTAGATTGTGTGGAAGGTTTTGCATATTAATCTGATTTGACATCTAAAAGTAGACACCTCGCCCATTTTAGTCATACATACCAATTTCTTAAATATTCAATGGACAGGTAGAAACACTTAGTGCTCAAGTCGCTCTGGACACTAGTTGTAAAAACAGGTTAATAATTCTTTTCACAATAATTCCCCTGAACACTGAATTAACTTAAACATGTCATATAAAAGAGGTATCTGCCTTTAAGATGGCTAAAAATAGGACAAAATTCTTCCTTAGCTGCTAGCTGCAAAAGAAAAGAAGAGCAGAAACCAGTATTTTCAAATACGATGAGAAGAGTGAATCAAGTTTTAATCCACATCCCCCTCCACCCCCCAAGGCAACTGAAACAGGTCATTAATAGCAAATAATAAAAATAAAAAATAATATAATAAAATACATTGGAACCAGAATTCTGTCCTCTCTTAATCTCTGCAACCTCTGGAGCTTTAGTGAATTCCCCAAGCCCTAAGGCAGGCAGAATCTGGCCCAGGTTTTGTGCATTTGTGCTCAGTGTTGTCTTACCCTCAGTGGAATGCCAATATCATCAACAGAGGTATCAGCCATGTGCTGAGGGCTCTTGACAGTGCTTCTCTTTTCCTCCATTGCTTTCTTCTCATTTGGCACTGGTCTCCTGAAGTGGCTTGTCCCGTATAAGTGCTGAACCAACTTTATCAGAAACTAGTCTGTCTGGCACTGAATCTGGAAATGACAATGAACAATTCTTATCCCAGCATTTCACCACATCACCACATTCCACTCTCTTAAGGCAAAAATCCTAGCAAGTAGTTGATGAGACAGACTGTGCCACTGCTAGTTATGGTTAACATCTGGACTGAAGGAAATCTAGCATGAAAACGTTTGATGCCAGCAAAAGTGGGCTAGCATTTCTCAGCTGTCATGTAAGACAACAGAAAATTTTCATTTCAAGGACTGTTTTTGGGTTGGTGTTTTGTGTCTTTCTGACCACGTAGTGACTCTGCAGTCTCATTCTACATCCAAAAACATCGGGGATACAGCCTCCTAGAAATCTTTTTCTGCTGGTGATTTCAATCTAACAGAGCATCCTACCAGGTAGTGGAGCACTATTCTTTAACAGCTTGCACTCACGTGCCTGACAATCCCATTCATTATAGTCCTCTTTATTACATATGATGCTTCTAATTCACCTCTGTGGCCTAACCAGAGTTTTTAAATAGTAAATACTAGTGTTGTTTAAGCATACATATGATTCCTCTTGAACATGAATCTCCATAAAGATTTGGGGAAAAAAAACTAATTGCTGCACTCAGAATTCCTTGATGCAGCACCACTGACACCCACACATAGCAGCAGGCACCACGACTACTGGCCAAGGAACCAAGGCAGCCCAGGTTGCTCTGAAGCTCTAAAATGTTCGCAACCCTTAGGTTCTGCCAATGACTTTTAATATGTAGATTTTCTGGAGAGGAAACGTATGATTTTACAGTCTGCCTCATCAAGACTTTGCCAAGTTCTATCCTTTTTACGTCACTGCATGCATTGAAGACAGAAAGAGAAAGGTATTTTTATTCACATGCACATCGCCATACTGCCCAAAGCCATTAAGTGTGCAGAAATCTGAAAGGGCCAGTTAGCAGAGGAAAGGCTCATGCATAACAAAGCATTGGACTGTTGGTACCTTGAGCAAACACAATTCTGCCCTGCAAAACTCAGTGCATGAAGGATTTGTGTTTGAGTGGTTGGTATGAAATTACCATCAAATTTTAGGTCTTCGTCTTCTTTAAGAGAAAATGAAACAATGTTTATACATGTTCAAAATGAGGCAAAGCATCTATTAAATCCTTGTTTAGCATTTTCATGGAATCATAGAATGGTTTGGGTTGGAGAGTTGGAAGGGACCTTAAAGATCATCTAGTTCCAACCCCTCTGCCACAGGCAAGGGCACCTTCTACTAGGCTAGGTAGACTATTTCCCCTCCCTGTGAAGGTGTGTGCATTGTCTTTTGGTCCTTTCATGTCCCTGAACAGGGGTCTCTACTTTGTAGGAAGTGTTTAGTTCATTTACATTACTAAACTCCTTACTAAGCCTCTAGGAACAGAGGTTATTCTTCTATAACCTGGAAGACCAAAAGGACATGGGTTTTTGGATTTGGATGAGCATGCAGAGAGGATGCAAACTTCAGGAAAGGTCACAGCTTTCTTCCATTGCTTCTCATTGTCACTGCTGATGTTACAAGTCCTGAGCTTCTGCCTGGGAAAGTCATTATTTTCTGCAGGACAAAGAATTTGACACCAGAGAAGGTCACAAAGTCCTTCTCTAACAGGACTGGTAATATATATTATTTCTTTTTGATTCTCTAGCTTCCTGCACAGGAAAAGTAGTTGGCTGCTTGCCAGGCAGACCCCAGTGCCCCAGCCATGATCTAAACAAAATCTTTAATTTGATGATTTAGCAGAAATAAAACTCTGGCCTGTGCCAGTCATCTCTCAACCATGAATTCACACCTTCAATATTATAACATGAAATTTTATGAGCAATCTAGCATGATATAGCCAGGTGGGAGATCTACCAGCCAGTTAAATGTATTCAAAATTTTTTTTTTTGAGTGCAATTAGAACTGGTTGAAGTGCTGGACTGACAACCCTGAAGAAAGGAAAGGCCTGTCTGACAGCACAGTTATATCAGGGCAAACCCTCCCTGTGTACTCTGCCAGGAAAGTCCTTCCAAGGTCCACAGGACTCAACCAGAGAATCAGCTTAGTTGCTGGTCCAGTTTGGCTGCTCAGCTGATACTGCAAACACAGACACCTGTTGCACAGCTGTCTTTGCAGAGGGAGGAACTAAAGCAGACATCTTTCACCAAAAATTTCCTATAATACCCTACAACTTGGAAAATAATGGCTAAACTTCATACTGATTTTTTGCCATGGAGTTTCAATGATTTCAGAAGAGTTTATGGAGCTATATACCAGGCTTTGACATATTTAAAAATTAGAGCACCAAATCTGATGCCTGATCACCCAAATAAACAGATTGCACCAGCAAGCACAATCCATGGTACCTGAGCTATCCTTTAACAAGAGCAGCAGCAATATATGGGGTTGTACAGCAACAGTTTTACTGCTGTGACAAATACGACATAAAAAATAGGGGGAGAGGTGGCAACCAGCAGCTTTGTGTGGTCATTTTAGTATACTAAAAGCAGATGCAGACCCAGCGGTGCCACAAAATGCTTCACTCTTCCTGACCAAGGATCATTCGGGCTGTAATAAACTGCTCTGTGGCTATCTCTAGTTCAGAAAACAAAGGAGTTCCTGATAATTAAGGGAAACACCTTCCAAAAGGGAAAACCAACAGGAAACTTCTGTCCGGTCTTGCAGGCAAGTATTAAATTCATAGCTGAGTCGTGTCAGATGAGATACTACCTAACTAAGGGAAGGAGCCAAGAGAAACCAGTGGAAGCTGTATGCAAGCATGTCACCTCAGCAGGGCGGCAGCAGGGAGGACGGACAGGCTGGTATAGCAGCCGAAGGAACCTGGCAGATGAAGTTGGACCAGGTCAGCAGCTGCCTCATGGGACAGGCTCTATCAGTCCAGGGCCAACACAGCAGAATAAGAGCACACAGTACTGGCTTCCCTGTGTTTCTATTTGTGACATTTAAAGTGCTTAGGCATTTTCTGTGATGCTCTTCTCTCTCACTTCTCCATTTACCCTGCCATGGCCATAACCCAACAATAACAATACGGGTAAGTGGTGCATAATGTGCTGGTCCTATAATGCCCACTACAGACTGACCTTCTCCTATTTGGGGCACGGGGAGGGAAAGATGACCAACTTGCCCTTCTTTCAAGGACAGACTCTCATACCCATTACAAGAGCAGAGAACTGCCCAAAGAAGGATGGCAGCACACATGCATACTTGCATATTACAATTTTATAATCTATTTCTTGACATCTGGCACAAATACGTGTGCTCTTGGAGTCATGTAAATATTGGTTTTTATTTCTCTTCCTTTCCCCTCACCACAAGCAAGACTAACTCTAATGGCTATGTAGAGAAACTTGAGAATATGCCCCACGAAAATAAACCTAAAGGCTCAAAAGGCAGCCCCCAAAGTCAGCTAGAACAATCAAACTGTATGTAAATCTTATGACTTAGGAGGAACAGATGAGTAATCTAGGTTTTCAGTATACTAACATGTGGCCACACCGGTAGCATTTGGAGAACAGACTGAAATAGTTTGGTGGCCTGGACTAAGCCAGGACAAATATTTACACTAATTCCTTTGCAGTTCCTGGGAAGTGTGTTTGCTAAAGGTACTCCACAAGCTAACAAAGCAGCAGCTTTGCTCCACCAGAGGCAGCAGCTGGGGGGTAGCAGACCTTTCATATCATACCTGCCAGGCTACTAAGCCTTTTTTGCTGTTCTGTGGTAAAGGAAGAAACAAAACAAAAAGAAATACAGAACAAATGGGTGAGACATAAACAGCAAGTGCTCTGGTGCTGCATTTCTGACAGGCAAGAAATACACTGTAGACAGAACAGCAGCAGCTGCTGAAGAGAATCTGTTTTCAAATACTCTGCCAAAGTGACAGCCCACAGTCTCTTCTCCTCACAGCAGCCTTGTGGAATAACATAAATCTCATGATGCAGTGACCAATATTATTTACATAGGGCTTTTTTTTTTTTTTTTAAACATCAGAGAATGAAAAAAGTCGGACAGGAGACAGCTTGAAAAACAGTAAAGACTCCCAGAGTCAAACAACTTGTCAGCTAACTCTGTTGCCCATTAGCATGAAACACATTTTGAAGCAGTAACGCTGTAGCACTTTGAAGGGATGCAGGAAAGGATCAAGTCATTGTTGGTGCTTGCTGAGTCTCATCACAATCTACTGAGCCACCGGTTTGGTGATTTGCACACAGACACAGCTTGATTAAGGCTTTGATTCTCAGAATGCTCCCCTTTGTTTAGGGCCTTTCATTACTGAGTTCCCAGACTGTGACATTTGTAGTGTCTTCCAGCATGTTTGACCACCCTAAAGTTGATGCTCACAGCTGCTTTCTAAAGGGATACCCAGATGACTTGCCCAAGTCACAGCTGGGAATAAACCAAGAATCCTTAGCTCTCTGTTCTCTGCTTTTTCTATTCCCTAGCAATTAATCCTTTCATTCAAAGCATGAAAACCATTTGAAAAGAATAAAGGATTTTATTGACATACAAAAATACAAACACTCTTGAAAGCCCATACCGTTAATGCGAAGATTTAAAAACTTTAATATATTAATCACACCTGTTACATAATCATAATAAACCATGCCATGCAATGCCTGCCCAGGAAATAACTGTGTTGTGGGGTGGCATGGGACAATTGCCAAGCAAGTCTGCGGTAGATAACAATCCTCCAGGATTATGCTGTTTCGTAGCAGAACCCACCTTTACTAGATATTTGTACCAAGTGGATCATCTCAGCAAGGGAGACCAATATTTCTCCTCACTAAGTGCAGCTCCCTCACCAATACCTATCAGCTTTGTTCTTTAACCCTAGCACTTCTACTCTGCTAACCACCAATGGCAAGTTGCTAGTGCACATTATGCTCACATGATAGCTACTAACACGTGAAACAAACCCCTATGTGCAAAAGGAAAAAAGGAAGGGTTAGCAATCTGAACCTGAAAAGCAGATGGGAACCACCTGCTTCAGGGTTCACTCTTTTAAGCAGGCCATCAGGATTGGCTGCTGTATTATGAGAAAGGAGGAAAAGATGCAAGTAAAGGATGGTCTCAGCTTCTGCCATCACATTCACTGGGGAGAATTATGTTCAATCACTAAGGTCTCCTGACAAGAACATGTGGTTTAAAGAGTAGATACTTGAGAGCTCTTTCCTATCTTTTCCTCCACAGGAGAGAGAATATAATGGATTAATAGACTTTTCATTTAAAAAAAACTATATATATAAGTACTATTTACATGAAGAGGACATTTCATTTTCACTTATGTCTCTTAGTAGGGAAGAAAGTCGCTGATGGACAGAAGCGGAAGGAGTAGGAGGTATCTATTTCACTCTCCTGCATGACGAGAGCCAGCTTGCAAGTCCCAGGCATACACCAGCTAAATGAGGTTTTCACTCCTGATCTTGTGTTCTGGAACTGTAAGCAAAGGCCAAAAACTTGTAGGCTTCTCAGAGAAAGGGTTGAGCAGAGGAACAGAACTGCTGGCACCAGTGAAGGAATGAATGCAGATGCCTCCAAAGTTCCCAGAGGAGGGAGCACTGGAGGAGACTAAGAGCTGAAACTACTAACAAATGGGGAAAAGGAGGCAAGTATTTGAGTACATTTAGTGCAAAATAAAAACATAGATGAACCAAGACACCAACAGATTGTGAAGGGAAGAAATTCTTACGTTGGTGCTAGGAATGAGCAAGAGGATCTGAAATGACTTGTTTATAAGCATCAATCTTATTCAGTTGGCATTACTGAAATCCAGTATAAAAAATTCTGAGCTCTCTCATCACAGCTGAATAAGATGAAGCAGACAAAAAAAGGATATAGTGTAGTTTCAAATGCCATTACCTGTTTCTAAGTCTCTGACAGCTCCACGTCAAAGGGTCTTACATGCTTACAACTTAATGAACTAGCAGATAAAGCATAAAATAGGGCAGTAGGTGATGTCTGCTACAACAGTCACTCCATACAGAAAGATAACCACCTCCTTAAAAAACAGTCAATCTACTGAGGAGAAAGTCACATTATCCGTCTGGAAGACTAACTAAAATACTGGAGATCAAAGATGCTAGCTTTAAAATGACCCTGAAAATTCTAATTCAGAGGGTATTTCATAGAAGATGAGAGGAATTCATTTTAAACCTCATCTTGACATGAAGGAATTGATTTCAGCACAAAACATAATTAACCATTCAGGTGAAGGTGGATCATAAACTAGTAACAATTCTTTACATGCTACAAGAGCAGAACAGTTTTGAATAGATAAGGTCCATAAAGTTGAAACCAAATACGAATTATGTCAGCCAGGACAGAAATGTAACAGGTAACTAAGATGTGAGAACCATTTAAAAACACTAAGCAAAAAGAAATTTGAATGCTATGCTGGGATAAAGCCTAGCTAGGAATGGAAGCATAATGAACTGTAAGAAACTCTCAACACATAAAAAGATGGAAAACTAAGAAAACATATACCTGTGAGTAGGTACCATGTGCTCAGAAATGAAAGAAAGTGACAACAGAAGAAAAAGAATTAACAGAATGTCTGACTCAAAAATAGGTTTTGACGTACATGAAGAATAAACAGGCAATGATCTTGTTCTTCTACCAAATAGACACAGTAGAGCTGTTAATAAGAGGGCAGAAAAGATGACATCTGATTACTCTTTCCATTCTGCGGGGGGGGGGGGGAGAGAAATCTGACATCCTACAGCCTGATGAAGAAATACTTTCCACTTCAACAGCAACTAAGGACTATGCTGAATGACAAGAACTGAGATCAGATGCTCGAAAAGTAGCATCTTTCCAATACTAAAAGTACAGCATATAAACTGTAGTGAAGAGTGTTAAAGCAGTTTTCTGCTCTAAAGAGAGCAGCTCATTGGACCATTAACATTCATCCTCAGCATGCCCTGGAATACAAAGGAACCTTCCTTTTCCAGGACAAGGAAGAAAGCAAATGTTGTAATAACCTTTGAAAAGCATCAGTGTGATGGCTGGGACTTCTATCTGTCAAGTTGACAATAATGCCAGAAAAAAAAAATAAAATTGTAATGACTTATATGGGATTTTACTAATAAATACATAGTATGATACACGACAATCAATACAGATTTATGACTAAGATGCCTTGTCAAACCAGTTCAATATGATTATAAGTTTGACCAAAAAAGACTGAAAAACACACATTAGAACAAGATACAGGCACAATCAAGTTGCTCATCGGGTGATTATATTGCAGTCAACAAAAATGCTATTAGAGAAGCTCTTCAAACTATCAGGATACAGTATCGTGAGTGCTAATGGTCAGAGTAAAGACATTCAGACAGGACAAATCAGTAACTGTAAAGATTATTAGTTAATGGAACAACTTGATAACAGCTGTCTCAGAGCCAGTGTGTGTGGATCATCACATTTTACAGATTTGTCTCTTATGCAGAGAGACAAAAAGAAAATATCCTTGTGTGGTACACACTGAAATGCTTCAGATTTAATGCAAAAAACAACCAAAAGAGTATCCCCCCCAAGAAACTGAACAAAAAGCTTTGACATAAAAAAGGATCCCTCAAATATTTTTTCTTCTTGAAGCAGTTGGGGAATCCAGACACCCTCATTCAGAAGCACATAAGCAAAGCTGCTTCAGATGCTAGCAAAAAGAGATAACCCACTCATTACCCCTATAACCAGCTGGGCTACAGTGAAGATGCTATCTTCAAGATCAACAACTATATCTGTTTAAAAAACCCACTAAACAACAAAACATAAGGGGCTACAAAGCAGCACATAAATGCACGCCTGTAATTACAGAATGACTACAAGATGAAGAGTGCAGGCCTGGCCCCTATTTTCTGATTTTCTTTTTTTCTTTGCAAAAGATAAGTCATAGCATTGTAGACTGGAATCTGTCTGTCCTGGTGTTTCCTATGTCCACTGGAAACCAAGGCAAATTGGTCTGCACCTTTGTGGCCCTTTATAAGCTACTGTCTTCAGCGACACACAGTGAGCTGGGAGGCTGGGGTAATGCCACCCATCAGGGGAACTAAAAAGGAGAAACAAAGTTTCCCTCTAATGCCAGAGGCAAAAAGACGCAACTCTCCATTCAAAAAGAGCTGCTGTGAGGCAGAGAAAGGCTTAGATGAGTAAACAATGCTCAAACAACATTGGTTTGCTCATATGTAAACCCAGAGCTCTAAGCCTACTGCAGCAGAGTTTTAGTTGATCCAGTTATATAGGAACAAATTGCCAAGTTCAAACTTATGGGCAAATGTATTATTTACTATTGGGTAAATTCTGCTGAGAATCAGAAGTCAAATCACTCCCACAGTAACTGAAAATACTGCTGCTTTCACACTCCAGTAGCTAAGAAGTAACATAGCCCCTTCCTTTTCCAGCGGAAAAGCTCAAGCTACCTTGCTCCTACTGATAGATGTGAACATACCCCTTTCCACTATGACAGGACACCTGATGGGGGATAAGTGTTACCCTGCAATAACTTACTCAGATGTCCACAGCCTGCTGTAAGCCTCTCCCCCAACCTCAGAATGGCTCTGATTGACAGGTTTTAATCAGAGAAAAATAGGCATTGTCCCACAGCTCTAATCTCTTACTTGCACCTGTTGTATTCTCTAGTCACTAAAACTTTTAAGTTTTGTTAGCTTTTAGTAGTCTGGACTTAATTGTCCATGGCACACACATTCTCTAGTTCCTTGTAGCATAACAGGTTGCTCAGTTTGAGTCACAAATATCTAATTGGAAGTCTCCTTACCTCGATTGTGCTGCAAGAGGACAATAGTGGGATTGACGATTGTGGTAGATGGATAGGCAGAGGAAGACTTGTTGATTGAAGTGAAGGAGGCTGGATAGTCAGTGCCAGTGCCAGACTGGGGCACTTCATTTAGCACAGGACTTGGGTCCTGGAAAGGAGAGCAACATATCATTAGCAGCATGCAAAAGGCTGCTACACTGAGAAAATCTGGAAAATACCCCCCACGTTTTAAGCTGAATGAGAAGCACAATCACAGCAAATTTTAGTAAAACAGGCATAAGCATGAGTGTTACCCTGCTCCCTGTATGTACCCTGCTCGTTGTTAATGCAATTAGTTTGCTAAGGCAGTACTATAATTATTTGGTGTTGAGTTTCACAACTCCAACCCCAAAAGGAGGTACTAAATTAATCCAGCAAACTTGCTGGAGGAAACACAGGGTGCCAGAAATGAGCATATCTCATTTCTGAGGCACTGAAAAACACAGACATCTTTCCCCCAATATATACACACACAAACTTTTGTTTCGAAAATATTCCTTTCAGAGCAAGAAGTCAGACATGCAAAACTCATGCAATTCTGTAATGAAACAGTATTATTGCAGCTGGTTTGGTAAGTAAAGTCTGAGGAATAAGGTCAACACTGTCACTCAGGAGACAGTATAACACCTACCTGGTTTGAATAATGAAATCAAAACCCCAAAACTGATGAGAGCAAAAAGCAGGACTGTAGCAAGAAAGATACTCAACATGGCTTTGCAGCTGGAGCACAGACAACAAGCTGCTCTTGCTCTCCTAAAGCATCCAGCTGCATTATTTGCTAATTTCAAAACCACCTTTGGTATCACTACAGCTCTGTTTGTTCTGTAGAAATACAGGCTGTGTCAGCAAGGAGACTTTAAAAACTAGTTCACCTTTGCAAAATCTCAGTCCAGGGATACCAGGCTTTTGCTGGTAGTAAGGTGAAAAGATAAAGAAAGGATGATGACTAAGACTGTGTATGCCAGTTCAGGCTGAGATTTTACAAATCTTGTTAAGGATTTTGCAGACACAATTACCGTTAACTGGGAGTGAGCATCCAAACAAAAAGAGTATGGAACAGCATAACATATTTCTGCACTTCTACTACCCCACTGCCAGTCTGAAATGGTGCAGGCCACTGATCTGCAAAATGGAGCTGAGCATTCAGGGGGATTTTCGTTGGTAATACTAATAATAAAAAGAATATGCGCAGGATAATGCTCCGGAAGAATTCCTACTCCTGGCTTTTCTGGCCAAGTGCAACCCAATGCCTGTTATACACACCAGCATCAGGGGAAAGGACGTACAAGATCAGGGAGGGGGCTGAAGAGAGGCCAAAGTGAGGCCTGGCACCAGTGCTCAGAGATAAATAAGCAAGAATTTACCATAATCTGAATAAGCATCTACAGTCTGTCCAACCAAGAGGGGAAATAGGGAAGAACAATCCTATTCCGATGGCTAGAGGTGATCTTACTCCAAGCAGCATCTGATCAGGCCATAAAAATTTCATGAGGACAGACGAGAATCAATGTTTCTCAGAAATAGGTGTCCCTAAGAGAGAGATCCAGCCCCATTTCCCTGGCTGTGATAATATTCCAAACAATGCAATTTGGGAAAAGGAGCGGGAGTCAAGAAGTAGAAGAGATTTGAACTTCACTTCGATAACTAAAATATAAAGAGCCCCTCAAAGAGGGATGTCAGGTCAGGGTAGGCTCAGCAGCCCCAGCTAAGTCACAAAATTTGGTGAACAAAGACCATTTGAATCAAAGTGGAAAACAGCTCTGTGACTACATGCCTGAAGTGAGCATGCCCAAAAATGTTTCAAAGCTCCCATCTCATGAAAATCAGGTACAACAAAATTTCCACTCCTCTGCCTGCTGAATTCTTCTGAAGCCTGCAGATAGGCTCCATGAAAAAAATAAAATAAAACAAAACAAAACCACCCAAACACCCAACCATTCCCCCCCCCCAAAAAAACCCCAAACCCGACCAAAACAACAACCACCACCGCCACAACAACAAAAACCCACACAAAAACAAAAAACCCCCAAACAATCACCACAAACAAAACCCTCAATCTGTCATTGCTCTCTGCAGTAAAAAAACCCACTGATTCCAACAGAACCAGAAAGGTCAGTGCTGAGAACTTCTGAACACATCATCCTTGGTTGTTCTTTTTCTTTTTTTTCCTCCCACATGCCTGTTTGCTATATGCCTGTAAGTGTCAGAAGACAGAAAAGGCACCATGATGAGAGGAAAGTGTTTCTCCTGAACTTATTTGTAGAAAAAAAAAAAAAAAAAGAAAAAACGGTGGTTGTAAGGCTTCCAGTACAAGGAGGGTCAGGTACTTCTTGCCTCCTCTGCAACTTTAACTGAGAGCTACTCTTAGTCCTTGTCCCCAAGGACTTTTTTAAAACAGGTGATGAGCTTGAAGATAAACAAATACCTAATCCAAGAAGAACACAGTAAATTCCAAGTTAAAAGTGATGTGGATTGAATTCTTCCAAATTTTCAAAGACCGGTAATTCCAAACTGAAGAGACACTCTTCTGCTCATCAATCCCAAAACACCTACACACTTGGAAGACTCTTAGCTCAGTAACTGATATTATTGCTTGTAGGTCATTGGATACTGGCATCAGTCTTACACTGACTTCAACAAGGATTTGTGTGGGGAGCATACAGTGGCTCCAAGTGGAACAGAAAGCCTGCCCTAACCTTTAACTGCTCTGCTGTTGCTGCTTTAAAATTTATCCAAACACAATTAAGGATGCTATTAAAAGAGCCTGAAGAGATCAGTTAGTGCAGCTATTCTGTTTATACAGAATAAATTATTCTGAACAAGTTCTCTGAATACTCTTAAGGCGTGCATCACCTAGCAGAATGGGCACAATGGGAGACGGTCAACTTTTGTTGCGAGAAGTCAGTAGAAGGTTCAAAGCTGCACAAGGCAGGCAACATGCATGCACTAGCACAGGATGTAAACAGGGTTTCAGTTGTCATGCTGTTTGCAGGGAATGAGTCATCATTCCTCTCTCAAGTTTAGTATTGAAAGGAGAAAGTAATTTTTATCTGGGAATACAAATTTAGGAAAAGAGCAAGGAGTGTACTTGGCAAGCTTACTGTATGTGAGATGACTCCAGTGATTTCAGGCTTCAAGCCCCTGTGCAAAGTCCCTGTGACTGGAGGGACAAGTGAAGGTGGTGACGAGAAGAATGCCAGTTTTGGGTAAACAGAGGGTAATGTGCCAGATGTGGAGGGTGCTTGGTTATGGTGGGAACCCCTCTGGAGATGTGGGGGAATGAAATCGTCTAGAGTCGGAAAAGTCAAGGGTGAGCCAGGAGGAACAATCTCAGGGAATGTGGAGCCTTGCCCAAAAGGAACCAGAGGCGGTGGTGGAGTGCTGGAGCTGCCTTCTTGCTGTCTTTCTGGATTAACCTGAAGGAGGGGGACTACTATAACCCCGGGCTGAGCTGTGGTGGTGGCAGTGGCATCCTGTAGGAAACAAGGTGTTGTTATGCAACAGGGAAGATTGATACTTTAGTCTAATGCAGCCATATAGCATCATGCAAGGATGCACCCAAAATGATACAAAGCCCCAACAGATTTTCTTTCCTTCGGAAGACAGTCTTGCAGCCCTGGCCTCTACAAACACGCACCGTTTTTCACAAAGATTTTCCTTTCCTTCACCACCCTCTTCTCCAGTTCTGTGCTGTGAGGCTAAATGCATCCACCATCATTTGAGAAGCACTAACAATCACATAACAAAGTTTGCTTTTTGTACACCTCCCTAAAATAGAAAGATCCTTGCCAGTCCAATCCAACCCCTTAGAAACACCACACACGCACAAACACACAGATGAATGTTGAGGGGGCACACATGGGGTGTTAAGTATTATCAAGTAGAAGACCACAAGACTCAAGTGGCACAAGAAGTGCTCAGAAATTAGGCAGGAGGGGAATAAAGCATCAAGGGAACATTGTAATGAATTAAAGAACTGTTCACACGGCTGAAAGAAAACAAGATTACGGAGAAAACATGTACCATGCTGCGTCCCATTGCCTTGTATGGTGGCTGTCGCTGCTGAGTAAGGTAAGGCTCTTTTCTCATCCTGTCCTCTGTGGCAGCTGTGCTCTGGGGTTCTAGCACTTTGTCCCTCACAGCTTGCAGAGGTGATGACTGAGTCCAGGAGGGTTGGCCCGCACCATAACTAACTGCGTCTTTACTGAGGACAATGTAAAAGTACGGCCTGGGAGGAACAGGAGGAGGAGGAACAGCAGGAAGAGACTTTCCAGTGTCTGTTACAGAGGAAACAATGTCGGTGGCTGGTGCTGGAGTGAGCTCAGCACCTAAACTGGTGCTGGCTGCTGGGTCATGTGTGGTGCCAGTGGAATTTTCAGATGTGGCTGAGCAAGTGCTGTTAGATAAACAAGCTACATATAGTTTGCTGACCTTTTTATCCGCCTTCGTCTCATGACTGGAATTCACTCCAGCCTTACTACTGAGATCTGCCCTGTTGGGGTTGCGCTGTAAAGATGATGCATCTGAAGAGGAGCAACTTTCCAAGAGTGGCTGCTCAGCATGCACCTTATCTTTGGGGCCTGGAGAGGGAGAATACCCTGCTGGCAAGCCTTGCTTCCCACTGGGGACAGTCCCATAGGGGGTAGGTGATGAGAAATAACACCGTGCACTGGCATTTGGTGATGCACACTGCTGCATATAAGGCTTGGGTGCATTCAGGTACACGCAGTCCATGATGGGCACTGGCAACAGGTTGGTCACTTTACTGTCAGTGCGAGGACGCCATGCAAAGCTTTCCTCTTTGGGAAGAGGAGGACGGGGAGGGGCAAGGGCCTGTTTAGGCAGTCAAGAAGGAGGAGAGGGAGAGAGACAGCAGCACCAAATGGAAGGAATAAGAAAGGAAAAAATAAATAAATTCAAAGAATTAATTTGATCATTAGACTTGGGTTAAGCAGGTTTTAACATAGCAAGAACAAAAAGCAAATACAGTATCTGGAAGGCCAGTGCAGAACTCACATACATCATCTTGCACACTCTCTTTTTCCTAGCACTGCTTACTGAAGCACACAAACTTTACCCAGCTCTCAAGTCCCTGCCTACACATTCCTCTCTCGGCTAAATAAGTCTCAGTGCTGTATTGTTTCAAGAGGCCTGCAGAGCAACACCCACCATGCTCCTTGGGAAGCCGGAGTCAAGATTTAACATCCTGCCTAACAAAACCCAGACTCGTATCTGTGTAACTAAATACTTCCAGGCACTGAAGACCTTTGAATCACAATGCTAAATTCAGAGCTCTAGGCCATCTCTGCATGTTAAGTGCATTGCTGTAAAATGAACATTGCAAAGTTTCACGAGTGCTAATGAAAGCAGACATGTAAATACTATAGACTACCACAGCTGGCTAAGTAAAAAGTCAGCACTTCTTCCTTCTAAAAGCTAGCTGTTGAATTCTCTTCAGGATTTTTCCATCCTGAAAATGCTTCCAGGAAGACAAGAACAATTAAAGCTTTGTGATGAACTGAATTACTAAGAATTTGCCTCCAGAATCAAGATTACCAACAGAGAAATCCTACTTCTAGTAAATAATGAACAACTTAACTGGTTTTGGTACTTTGCAACATATAAGTTGCTAACTACAGAAATGCCCGGCAACTTCAACTCCAACTCCAGTGAATTTTTGCTGAAAACCAAACTGTTTTGAAGTAAAATAACTCACCAATACAGAAGTTTCATTTTATTTACTGCTTTGTTGCCAGTGGCTGAAAACTATAAGCTACTGAAAGGAAGAGAATTAAAACACCCACCTAGTGAATAGTAGCTCCCTGAATTCTTGCAATTTAACCCTCTTGAGACCAGGAAAGTAGGCTTTACACACACCCTGTCGTAGTATCTTTATAGACAAAGGCTGGCTAAACCACTGCTAAAATGGTCAAAATCAGAAAATGAAGATGCCTTAACAGCTTGCAACATACAAATCTGACAAATATACCTCCTTTATAATTCATCCAAATATGATCTGTATGACAACTTACAGCCAGCATGTGTTCTTCTTACATAGATATAGACCTAGAACAGCTCCATAAAATTACAGCTGATGTTCCAAAATCTACTGTCCTCATGCTGCTCCTCTTCCCTCCACTTCCCTGATGTGTAAGGGAGTGGAGAATTGGGTTGGTAAGTGCTTCTTCTGAACAGTTTCTGCTTCTGGAACAGGCTAATTCCTTTTGATTCCTTAGGGACAGTAGATTCAGTCTGGAAACTTCAGAATGCCACCGTATTTCCCTAGGTTAGGTGAAGCCTCGCTATGTAGTTCCCGCTTCATAGTATCATCAGGAAATAACAATTCTCCACCTACAGCTGCTGTTTTAGCATTTTCTTCCACTTCAGCTTAGTTCGGACAGCAGTCCTTTAGACTTCTATAGGAAGTACTATGTGCATCAGTGCTCTTTGTGTTCAACAAGATCAGTAAGGGACTACAGGACAGCTGTGAGTATCAGGCAGTAAATGGGTTTCTCCTCTAGGGTGCTGCTCCTTCTCATGCCTTCTTCCAAGTTGTGCCTCCTTCCACTTTCACTTACAATTTCAGGAACACTGTCCTGTGGCATTGCTATAGGTCCCTGACAATGAGAACTGTCACCCTGATAGAGGACAAGGCTTTAAAGGGACTCTTGTTTCACAAACGAAAGTGGTTCTAATGAAGGGTTTCCTTACCAGGTTTGAGACTGTGCAGATCAACTGCCCAAAAGAAAAAGGATGAAGTTACACTTCTCTTAACAGATTGACTTCAACCATTCACCTTCAGGTACAAATAACTTTTCCCTTGTTCGCTTCTATCAGTTACAGTGTTAAGAATGAAAGGCATCTCCCCAGTATCTTGTTTTTAATTTAACAATGCTTTCAGCCTTGCAGCAACCTCTAGGAAATATACCAACATAAAATTCAAAACAGTACTAGATGGCTACTTCACCTTTTTTCTTGCAATCAGGTAGTGTTGTCCTCCTCCTTCATCCACCAAGGAAACACAGCATGCCTGAACACACAAGCTCCACAGCACTCTGGTCCTGTCAGTGTTGCCCCATTTTTAAGACAGGAATAGTGGAGGCAAGCTGAAACTTACCCAAGTCTGCAGCAAAGTTTGGAGTTCGACCCAGGGATTCTGACCATGAATCCAGTGCTTGAACCCAGAAGATCACCCTCAGAGTCACAGAAGAAAGGCTTACCTGTGGCTTGCTGTCTGAGGAAAGGTTCGGACGCACACTCCTATAACCCTTGGCAGCCAGAGAAGATGGTTGGGCATCCCCATTGGCATCAGTGTTAGATGACAACCTCCAATTATCTGAGGGGAAGGAAAACAGATCACAGAGAATTCCCTCCAGCTACAGCACAAACGAAAGGAGGGACCCTTTTCTTCCTCTTTTTTTTTTCCCCTCCCCCCTTTTTTTTTCCAGGCAACAAGAAATACTTCCAAGAAAGCAATAGAAGCAACAAAATAAGCAGCCAATGTTTGTACCTGTTTCTGGGTTTTCTGGCTCCAGACCTAAGCATTTCACAGAAAGGAGAGACGGAAGAGGTGGGGGTGGAGGATAGGCATAGAGGAAAAGAAAGGGGGGGAAATAAACCGTTACATTTACAGAAGACATGTACCAACTGAAGTTAACAGTTGAGCTACTTCATTTCACACATAAAATGCTTTCTGACAGGACTGCCTAATTACCATAGAGACCAGCCCTAAACATGATGCCCTCCTTGTTTCTGACCTTTGTAAACACAAGGCAATTCATTCAGAGCAATGAAGAAACAATTGTTCATTGACATTCTTCTTTCAGAGGCAAAAAGGCAACCCAGCTAGCTACTTTCTAAAGCTGCAGCTTGACATCCAGGCACCACAAATTACTGGAAATGTAGAGACCCCCTATTCAGCCATAATACAGGCTATGAACACATAACTATCCTTACCAATTTCACTATGTGTGATTAACTGAGATAAAGAACTGCTAACAACTAGATCAGGTTTTGCAGCCTAAATGCGCGTGCATGAACAGAGTTACAAAATACAATGCCACTTTATAGCCTGGTTCCTGCAGCTAGCTGCATTGGTCTCATCACCTATTTACCCACCTCCCACTGGGCTCCTCCCAACCCCTCTACCCATTTTGCTGTTTAAGTTATATGCAAAAAGCTCCTCCAGCTCCAAAGTACATTTCATAAAGCAATTGAGAGAGTAAGCAAAAAAAAAAAAATAAAATTAACGAGCTGATTTCCATACTAATGGGCTCATTGCTATTCAAGCTGCTGGAAATTTATGAAGCCATCAACAGAAAGGAAAGAGGCGATTGTGGAGGGTAGGAGTGAAGAAACAGAGAATGGCAAGCATAAAAAAGGGTAGGTCATAGGTGGAGCAGAATAGGAAGAGAAGAGAGAGCAGAAAGCAGCACATCGCGGCTGGAATTAATGGAATTGCCCTTCCTCCAACAATACATTCATAAATGACATACGCTTTGCTTTCAAGAGTAAGTTTGACCCTCCCCTCCTAACTGCATCATGCCCTTAGGACTTCATCCTCTCTGCCAGACCCACAGCACTGGCCAGGTTTGTTATGCTTTGCCTGTCTCCTACAATTAAGTAATTACACATCTGCTACTGAAAGATGGCATAGCTCTGTGGCGACACTGTCTGTCTGGGACCCTGTCCCCATCCCTTGACAACCCAAGTGAATGCTTCGGTGACAGGAGCACCACCCGGTCTCTTTCTATTAACCTTGTGTCTGAGATAAAAGGAGGCAACATAGGCCTGCCAGGAGAATAAAAATAAAACAACATCTGAGAGTTTTATCCGAAAGAGGTTTTTGTGCTCCTGACAGCAAAAGAGAGCTGTAAACAAACTTAAGCTAACGAGTCAGCAGTCATTAAACCTGCACCAGGAAAGAACAGGATTCAGTCTCCCTCCACTGGCCTGGTTCTTGCATGAGGTTGCCAACTATGCTACTGGAATTTGGGGCTTTAAACTGCAGCTAAAAAAAAGTCACCCCAAGACTCTGGACTGACCTCTGTTGAGGTTAAGATATTCCAGTTAACATTCCATCCACTTACTTTCAGGTTGCTCGACACTCTGAGGACATGGCGAAGTGATATTCTGATTCTCTTGGTGGGCTGGAGATGCCCGGAGGGTCACAGCTCCTTTTCCACTGCAGACTCTAGTGGGATTTGTTTCTATAGGAAATGCACATACACAGAGGAGACATTGAAACAGATGATACAAAGCTATTGGGATCCATCAGAGCTCTATGGAGTAGTTTTAGCATGGCTGCCTCCAGGTGAACCAATCTAGTAATGTTTATGCAGATGAAGATTAGCTCTGGATTTAAAGCATTGAGAAATAAAAGCAGTTTCATATTCATGTAACTGATGAATGCAGAAGTAAGTTCGAAGTCAGTGTAACAGAGCTAAGAAAGGAGGAAAATTGGATGAGTGTTTGAACCAGATTTCTCAGGTCCATTTGCTTTATTTGGTCAGCTTCTATGGAGATATTGTACCAGCAAGGACATTCTACCATTACAGCTCTAGCTCTTCTGTTGGGATGTCCCAGTGGTATAAAGCAATACAATTTGTGTGCTGAAGCCTTAAGTATGTCTTCTGTGCAGGACTGAAAGAGAGAAAAAAGGTCTTATCACCACTGGTGGATAAAATCTTGCAACTATGCCGAGTATGATCTAAAGGCAGGATGCAGCAAGCCGTCTCCTTGCCATCTCCTCCCATTTCATGGCAGTGCTTCATCTTCTGACATAGGAACCCAAATCCCCAAAACTAGAAGGAGATTTAGCATATACCTGTTCAAATCACCCTGTGAGCCAAACGCTAGATCATGCTAGCTGAGGTCCAAATTCAGCACAGCTTCTGTGCAGGTTTACTTTTGTGCATTTCAGCCCATGGATTTGTTTTGTTTGGTTTTTTTAAAATCTCCTATCATCCTTTTAAGTAGTAACAAATCAGTACTTCAAGGCTATCTTCCTCCCCTTACATAAAATCCTTTCCGAGAGATGTTTCCTCGAAGATACCTATAGAAACAATAAGCCTTAAAGAATCTCCCACTTATCTAAGCTACTTCCACAGGAAAACACATCACCTCCCTTTCTCATGCTCTATTACTGGCTCTGCAGCTGCCATCAGACTTCACTTTGACCTACCTAAACAGAGGTGCTAGTCCTACCATGCAACCACACAGGGAGCCTAAAGAGGTACTGAGCATATACGCTGTGTTACACAACATGATGATTTTTACTTTTATGGAGTGAGGATCATGCTATCTCTGCACAGGAATGGATGCAGCTCCTCTCTAGGAACTGTTATTATCATGAAAGTTATGCCTTCATATTGGACAGAGGGGGCAAAGGCTGCTGCTCATTGCCTAGACAACAGCCCATGTCTGTGCAGATTCCCAATATTCCCTGGGTGACTTCAGGAAGATAATGTCCCATTAAATCCACACCAGCACAGTGCCTACAGACCATGACAATGCCTCAACTAAGGTTAAAAAACACACAAACCACAGCCAAGGAGGCCATAATATAGGGAAATATCGACAGTGCCAGATGAACAGTAGGGGGAAAGAATCAATAAATGTCAAAAACTTGGCTTTCCTGATGAACAGGAGGCGGAAAGAGTCAATAAATGTCAAACACTTGGCTCACATGGAAAGTCCTCTATGCTGGGATCACGGCAATTCAGGCTTTTATGTGGCTTCCAATGCTTTAGGGATTTCACAATAAGCATAGCTTCAGATCCACACTTAGGACTTGAGAAAGGATGGAGTAAGTACAGAATCAGAGGATACTTTCCTATAGTTCAGCCTTTAGTTAATTTAGGCAGCATAGAGGCAGTTTCTGTGAGGGGAAAGACTATCCACAAAGATATAACAAATGCTGTTTCATCCTTAAATATACCCCATTTGCCCTCACACCACACAACTGATCATGCCTGATCTTACCCACATGCCTTGTAAAATAGAAGTTGAATTCTCTGACTGATTTTTGCATGATCCAGATAGGGTCAGGATTCATTCTGCCCAAGAATCCAGTTCTGTCTATCATTCCCATCCACACAGCACAGCACATCCAAGGACTTTACGGATACACTCACACCAGAGGACAAAGGTTTAAACTCTGGCAATCCAGTCTTGAAAGTGCTGTAAATCTGAGCCATGGATGCACTGTTAAGGGTCACCAGGCCCGATTTAGACAATCACAAAGAGTATAGGGTTCTCTCATTCTCCTACACCTAGATTCCTTTCACAGGCACTGGAGAAATGGAAACGCTTAAGAGTTCAACATGCCATAAATGTCTACATCATACTGGAGAAGGATCAAATTTGGGAATCAAAGTACTTTATTTTCATACAAAATACTACACCTGTATACTGAATCAAAAGAATAAGAATCAGAAAAAAAGTTCTGAACTCAGAAAAATGAAAATGTTCTGAAAAGCTTTATTCTAAAATAAAACCTTTATTCTGAAAATAAACTATTGCTAGACTATTTCAATTTAGGAGAGTAAGAGAAATACTTAAGATGTTGAATTCTCTCACAATTTAGGTGAGATGATGGAAAACAAAAATCTGAATCTCTCAGTATAGAAATCCAGCAGATGGTAATAAACATGACATTGGCACTATACTAGTCCATCAGAGCACATGTGTGACAGATTACGAGAGACAAGCAGTATCAGCTAGACTACTCTGACTGTGCAAATCCAGCAAAGTACAAAAATAATCTTCTACTTTTAGTGGGAAAATGTGTTTGAGGAGGGGGTGACAAACAGTCTAACATTCTTATCCATCCGTATAAAGATTCTGTAAAGTCAGTGTATGTACAGAAAAACAAAACCATCCAACCAATGTTGAACTATGCTTGAACTTGTAAAATACCATCTCTGACATCCATTCACTTTCATAAAGACTAAAGATATGCAGGAAACAGTCTCTGGTTCATCAGGAGTTTGGTTTAAAATGAGACTGTAATAACAGTATTATTCATAATCAAGCATTAGTTGAAGAGTTTACAATGATCCCAGATTCAAGCAGACACAATTATGTCTGCAGAAGAGCAGCATAATTGAGAACAGTGTACTGTGCCATTAAGAGCTAACTTTATTACCTACTGATGAAATCTACAGCTTGGAAACAGTGAGAAGAGCATGAAGCTGAAAACTAGCCAAAGCACATGGGTGAAGCAGAAAGATATAAGGAGGAGGAGAAAGAGAAAAAGAGGAAGGAATGATGGCAAACTAATGCATGGCAGGGGAAGGAAGGAGGAAGATACCTGTAGGCAGCACTAGGTGAGGAGAACTTTTCACTTTCTTCACAGGGATTATTTTAACGGCAGAAATAGAGCGTGTACATAAAGGGACATCAACAGCTGCAAACACAAAAGTGTAAATGGCACATCCAAAAAGGGAAGAACAGAGTTTGGGAAGCATGCCACAAAATTTTCTAATGTACTTGGAGACACAATAGCAGGAAATTTCAAATACAAAAGCTGTCCAGAGAGCAGTAATGCAACCGCTAAAAATATCCCTTCGTTTGCCCTAATTCAGGACATGTCTGTTTTATGTTGCATACAGAACTGCTTACTGAATTGACTAACTGCTGACTGCCACTCTGCTTCAGGCAAAAAGAATCTGGAAGCATTAGTTCTTTAGAAGCCATCAAAAAAATTTTAGTGTAATCATTTAGCTGAGATACACTACATGCAAAAATAAAAATGTTAACATTAATATGACTCAGTTAAAAGTGAAAAAACAAAGACTGAAAAGTTGAGAAAGGAACATCAGACACATTACATGAATTCTGTATTTTATAGAATCATAGAATAGTTAGGGTTGGAAAGGACCTTAAGATCATCTAGTTCCAACCCCCCTGCCATGAGCAGGGGCACCACACACTAAACTATGTCGCCCAAGGCTCTGTCCAATCTGGCCTTGAACATCGCCAGGGTTGGAGCATTCACAACTTCCTTGGGCAACCTATTCCAGTGCCTCACCACCCTCACTGTGAAGAACTTCTTCCTTATATCTAATCTAAACTTCCCCTGTTTAAGTTTGAAGCCATTACCCCTTGTCCTGCCACTACAGTCCCTAATGAAGAGTCCCTCCCCAGCATCCTTGTAAGTTCAGCAACAGAATGAAGTGAAACATGAAACAATCTTGAAAAGTCTTCATTGCTAAAAGGTAGCATCAAAATATTCATTTCAGGAAAAGTCCATCCCTTTAAACAGTAAGTTGAAGAAATTTCTACTGGAATCTATCAGGTTGCACACTAATTATATTAGATGTAGTAACATAAGTGAAAACCAAACATAGCACTGTGTAAAATTCTAGCAATTGTTACAAAACTGCCCAAACCAGGCAGTGATTTCTCTCTCTGACTCTATTGCAGCTAGTGGGTGGGGGTGTTTGGAAAAAAAAAAAAAAGAAAAAAAAAAAAAAAAAAAAAAGAGGCAAATCTACTCAGAGGTGAAGCTCAACAGGATCTGCCAAGATAAATATCTTGTAAATCATGGGTCCACCAGAATAACTTGAGTTGTGTTCCTGATTTCTGCAGAGCGAGGATTTTCTCCTTTAAAACCTATTAGCTTTCTGCATGGATTAAATGGAAAATGCTAGATGCCTCCTCACATTCCATGCCATCCCTCTCAGGCCTGCAAAATCAGGAGTAAGAGGAAACACATTTCTAATACTTTACACACCGATTCTGAGCACTGGGCTGGACTGAGAGGCATCGACATCAGGGTGGTGTGTACACCCCATCTTGTGGCAGATCTTTCTGGTCCCTGGCAAAACTGGAAACCTAGAAGAGGGCTCTCAAGGATAGTGGAAGAGCTTGGTAGAATTTTTTCAAACCTCAAAATCATAAGTTTTTAAATTGATGGGATTGTTTTAAATTACTTTTTTACAGATGAGCAACACAGATCAAACTCTGTTTTCCATCTTTCTTCCTGAGCACTGGAGGCCTTGCAAATACAACAGATCCCAAATCCAAACAGCCTGTGGTTTAGGAAACAATCCTAATTCTGTTTTACTCTGTAAGTGACTGAATTCATCCATCTACAGTGCAGTTAAGATATTAACCACTATAAAAAGGCATCAAAAGAAAAGGAAATTAAATCAGCAGAAAACCAATCTATACAAACACATACTCTCAGCCTGCCGAAACACACAGCATCACTACACAAAATTGAATGCTATAAAGCACACTGCAAACCTGCTGATGTTAACATGAAGACTGGTTTGGTTAGATTTTTTTAATTTTTATTACTTGAATGGTTAGTTCCTGCCCTTTAATCCTGGGCTAAAAATTTCATCTCCTACTAAAGTTAACAGGATTCACGCATAGGCATCCACAAACCCATGCTGTCTAAACACACTAAGATACTGATTCACAGGTGCTCACAAGTACCACAAGTAGTGCACAAAATATGCAAAGAAGCAAAGCCAGCCTGACACCTTTAAGAGACAAAGATCACTTGTTCAGCTAAGAAATGCTGCTGCTACAGGCACAGTGCAGCACAAGGCTTTTCTTGTGTCAGTCGCCAAGCAAACTAAATTTGGAAACCCCTGCTGCAGTGAACGTCTAGGGAAATCAACCACATCACGCAGCTGACATGCAGGGGGAGCTGCAGAGACGTCTCCGAAACTCTTAACCCACCTTTTTCTCGTCCATTGCTGCTCAGCCCATTAACAACAGTTTTTGCAACATCAATTTCTTCGTGTTCTGCAAGACAAATGAAGAAGCAGATTACTTCTGGGTTAAAACCTCCTGCAACTGAATTTAACCTCTGACTATGAGGGGATGCCATGTGTCAGCACTATACAATTCGTAAAGTATTCCTCCTATCTCAGGAGATGTTGCTTGGAGACACAAATGTCCCTTCGATGACACCCCTGTTTCTCATTTCCCCTTGCCTACCTGGATGGCAGCTTATTGTAAACTGGGACTTTCTCTGTGTGTATGGCATCAAGCTCAGTGATGAGGTTTTTCAAGAGAGATTTTTTCTAGTCTGCCATGTCCTCGGATGACAATGAATAAAACTGGCTCTTGAATTCAGAGAAACACAGAAAATATGAAGACAGGCTGAGAAAGTTGGGGCTGTTCAGCCTGGAGAAAACTGAGTGGTGACCTCATAGCAGCCTTCCAGTATCTGAAGGGGGCCTACAAGGATGACTGAGAGGGACTCTTCATCAGGGATTGTAGTGATAGGACAAGGGGTAATGAGTTCAAACTTAAACAGGTAGTGCTTCACTACCCGGAAGCTTATCAACACTTAGGCCAAATTCCTAGCTCAAGCCAAATTCCCAGCTCATGTTTTTCTGGACTCTCTCCAAATGGTTCCCATTTTTCTCAAAATGTGGTGCTAGAAACTGGACAGGATACTCCAGCTGAGACTTGATAAGGTGCTAAAATAAAGTGGGAATATTATTCCACAGGTTCTACATATCTCACTTCATTACAGTGTCTGCTTTGTTTTTCACTATGATTTAGCCTGTTACCAAGACAAGCCCAGAAGTATTCTTCTTCCCAACCAGCCTCCTTTTTTTTTTTTTTTTTTTGAACAGCTGATTTTTCCTATGCAGGTGTCAAACTTTGTGTTCACCCCTACTAAATCATACCAAATTCAGATTTTTTTTCCAGGTAATTTTGATTTCTTGTATTACGAAGTTAAAAAAGCTAAAGTGACCTCAAGATGTTTCTAGTCATTTTTTGAGCATTATGGGTCATATTGAAACAATAAACGTGAAGCCAAGATACTTTTTAGTACAAAGCCATTCCACTGTTGCCATTATAAGGCAGATTCCCTGAGCTTTCTTGACAGGCTTTGACTCTTTTCTGAGAGGCAAAAGAGGAGGCAAAAAAAATCAGAAAAAAAAAAAACCCGAAACCCCAAAACCAACCAAAAAACAACAACAAAAACCACCCAAAACAAACAAAAAATCCCCCTCTAAGCTCTCCCTCCCTCCAAACAAACAAATTTTTAAAAAGATCAATTGCCCAATTGCATCAGAAACAGGAATATTTCCAGTAATAAAAAGGAATGCCAAGGAGGGCAAGTGGGAAACAACAGAGACTTACCAGAGCTCATTGTGGTGGAGGGACTTGCCTTTTTCACTTCTGGATTTTGTTTATGTCTGTTTAAAGTGAAAGGCAGAATGGTTATGTTATGTTACGTTTCACATCCCCCCAGACAGCACTGGACATGATGCTGAACATTCATCACAAAAGTCCAGGCAATAGTCACAGTTTTTTTCAAAAAACTTAGTTTCAAAACCAAAATGGATTTATGTTACATTTTTTTGCTGACAGTTATCAGAAACTAAACTGTATTTCCACCCAATATAGGTACTACTTTTAGACTTTAAGACTAGTCCTCAACTTTAAATCATAAGGTACTGATTAAAGCCCAAGAGTCTATATATGGCAAAGTGGAAATCCAGAAAGCTTCTAATATATAAAATATGAATCACCTTTAAGAAAAAAAAAAAAATCTCAGTGAAACTAAAAACTTTAAGTTAAACCCCTCAACTTAGACTATTACCAGATTTCAAGGCAATCTGTTGCTCAAAGTCAGTCTTTCCTTTGAAAGATGTTACAATACAGAAGAGATATACTTGCTGAAATGCTTAACTTCCGCACCAATCATTTCCAATCCTGCAGCACCGCTCATATTTTCAGGAGTGAAACTTCAAAATTTGAAGCTTTCATCTTCCTGGGACCAAAGTTAGTGAAATTAGCAACTTGAGAGAAAAACTACCAGATGAGGATCAAATGAGAAAAAAAAGTCAATTATCATGGTCCTGACAGTCTACACAGGACAACAATAGGTCCTATTTGTAACCAGTGCCCACTCTTGTGAGGACTTGATATATGCAGCAAAAGAACAGGTTTCAATGTCACACCAGAGATGTTGGTTTGAGCACTCAAAAAGCATCATTTCTAGAAAACAAGCCACATTTGTCAAGATCTCTCAACTCTCTAAAGGTCCCAGGTTGAATTCAAAGCCCTTAAATTTTATGTTTCAATCTCACTCCCCTCAAAAGTTGGTGCTAAAAATGCTGAGATCAAGCATCACTACAGTCAATTAATGGCTTCCATGACATTAATAGAAATAGGTATCTGCAGCTGCAAAATCATGCATAAACAAAGGCCCTAATCTGTGAATTACAGGGAAAGATTGCTCATGTTAACAAGAAACTAAACAAGTGAGTTTGAGATACTTGTTTTCATGTTACGTGAACTGAAGGCAGCAGTGGAGCATTGTAGGAGGTGGAAATGCCCTCAGGGAACTGAATTTGCACTCTTGCCCCAAAAGTATCCCTATTCTTAACTTGCATTTGCTTCATACCAGCCAGAACATAATGAGCATATTCAACAGATACCCAAAAGGAAAGAAAAGAAAATTCAACAAGCAAATATAGTAACGGATCAGTCTGTGAAACCAGCATGCCACCAAGCAACAGCTGCCAATACTTAATTATTTTAATATTTTCTTCGTTAAATAACCACGGATATACATTGTGGGTTGGTGAACATTCAGCTGCATGCAGCGTAACTCCAAGATGATCCCAGTAAAACACAGTGTGAAGTGGAGGGCAGTCTAAAATCAGTCAACAACAAAAGCTGAGCCCAGGTTAAAGATCAGGGGCATGAGGGAAGGGGAAATCTAGTCTACTACCCTTTCAGGAGAGGAAAGAAGAAATACTAATTCACAGGCTGGGCAAAGGCAGGGTCCACTGCTGCTGCAATCCCAGAGCAACACTGGTCCCCTTCCACAATGGCAGTATCTAAGCAATTAAACCTGTGAGCCCAAGTTTTTAAACAGTCTGTTTAGAAACAGACTGTTTAAAAAACTGTGTTTAGAAATAGTGACACCACGAATGCCATCAACCTGATTTCAGTAATGTCTTTTTGATTTACGAGTCTTGACACTGCTTACAGTGCTGGCCTTCACTGCATTAAGGAAAGAATTCACACCAAAAAAGCACAATTATTTGGCCTTAAAAGAGCAAATTACTTTCCAGAAGAAGTGATTCAAGGTTAAAAATGAAGTGATAACTGAAGAAGTTTGCTAAAATTAAAGGTAGGAGGTGTACAAACTCATTAGATCTAGAAAAACACTTTTCCACATATTGCCACACTTAGCAATTATGGAATTAAATTTAAAATAGCAAGCATTCAGTGTTCACTTACTGTGAAACTAATCAACATTATTCAAGCACTCAAACACATCCTTACTGCAGGTTCCCATACACAGAATGGATTCAGCATGCTCAGGGTAAGCATAATCAATCCTGAGCACCTGTGGCTCCAGAAACTCCATTTAAAAGCTGATTTTGATCCTTTGAGGATCTGCACACAGATCTGCTGCATGCAGGTAGAAATAACTGCTGTTTAGGTTGAGGAAATCATGGTGCACGTTTGAAGTCGAGAACATGCTTCAGTGCCTTTTTGCACCGGGGCTACGGATTTATTCTATCTGTCTCCTACATGTTTAACCCAAAACACATACTGAAGTCCTATTAGGCCTGTCTTAGCCAAAAGGCTGCTCTTGCGACTAGACACATGGTCCATCCAGGTAGCACACCTGGCTCCATGGCCCCAGTATAGCAAAATGTTGCCCTTTAACACTTGAGATAGTACATGCTATAAGTCAGTGTGCCATGAGTGTTTGGATGGTACATCCTTAGTGGTTCCTGCCAGGTTGACCAGAAAAGCTGCGGGGTGTGGAAGCAGGTGGATCTGGATCCCAGTTCCCAAGAACTTCCTGTAGACATGGCCAAGCAGTTCCTGTAGATACACATGAAATACGCACAGCAGTGCATCAGAAGGGAGCCTTTCCAAAGGAACCAAAAATGAGATCTGTCAGTATGAAAAACAGAGAAACCGGTGCTGCCAGATCAGGCAAAACAAAACAAATTAAAAATAACAACAACTAAAAAAACCCCAACAAACCTCCAGAACCCCCAAGTGTCTCCTTCCAGCTCCCTGCTCTAACCAGCGTCTCCTTGTCAGACTAGAATTAGTGCCTTTCCTGAAATGTAACAGACATAGCAACAAAGGCTTCAAAGCTGCAGACGTTCAAAACACAATGAAAGGTAATGAATTCCCCAGGGCATAAGCCAGCAGCTGTAACTCTGAACATGCCAGTGTCCACCAACTCCTTGCCAGCTCATTCATACCTCCAGAGGGATGTTTAATGCTTCCTTTCTCCCCTTCCCCCCCGTCCCCCCCCCCCCCCCCCCATTTCTTCCAAGGCTGTAGCTCCTTCCCTACTTGGTGTGGAAAAGAGAACAGTGCATTTAGAAGCCTATTGAGGAGGAATGCAGATAAGTGGCAACTACTTCTGCACAACATGTCTCTGGATTCTCTCACATGCGCTAAACATTTGAGTACTCCCCCTACAATGGCAGGGGGTAACAAACAGCTCATTAATAGTTCCAAGCAAGGACACATGCTCTTGAGTCGCTGGTATCTCAACTAAGAGTTGCAAGTGGTGGTTATTTTTGGCCATCTAATGTGTGTGTGTAAAAATAATTTCCTTTTGTTTCTTCTTTTGTTATTATTGACAGCTCTCATGACTCATATCAGATTTTAAAACAACTGCTAAGCATGAGACGAGCATTCAAAACTTATTGGGCAGTTCCCTTATACTCCTGACATTTGGACTCCTGCTTTATTTTGTCAGTTCCAAGT